ATTTTTTATTATAATAATTGATCTATTCCTATTGTATTGAGTCTTCAACAATACCCGTCTCACACGTGAAGAGATAAAATATAATTGAATGGAAATGGTGATTTACATGACTCCTTAAAATAATTGTCAGTGGCATTGCTTTGAGTTTATTCTAATGAAGATATTAATTTCTCTTTTATCTAATTGGTAAAATCAATTTGGTCATGTGGGATATGGATGTTGTTGAATTAACATTCATTTGTATCTTATAAAAGACATGGCTGTGAAAAATAAAACTGTTACCATTTTTTTTATAAATACATCACAAGATTGTTTTGTGTTTTATCATATCCCAGTAGCGAATTTATTTATTAAAAATGTAACAGTCATAAAATGTGATTCACAATGGTTTATATTTATTAAATTGTGGACATGTTCTGGTTAAAAGGAATCTCACTTTCGGAGAATTATTTTTTCTAATAGGAAATTTTATACTGCCGTGATTTTAGTATGAATATAAATTTTAAAACCTATATGAACGGAGCGATTCAAGGGAGGCGACTTGTCATATACTGGGCAAAAAATACAGGGTTAATCTAGTTTTAAGTTCTTTTTTTTGCAGCGTGGCACTCAAACACAGGCTGGAAAGCACGCATTTTAAAAACAACAGCAACGATATAGTAATTACGCGTGCGAGTTTTCATAGAAAATAAACATTTTGTTTGTCCTTTAATTTTGCTTACCATTTTCACTAATTAAATACTTATTCTCTTCATAACCAACGTTATTGTATACTAGTGAATTTGGTGCCTTTGTTAATTCCATTAGAGACTTGAATTGAGAATCTATCTATTTCTTGTTGATGAGTCCTAATAAGGACGAAACGGGTCCAAAAATGACGTTCTCTTTAGTAATCAAAATCAAAGGTAGAGTGTTGAAATTAAATTTCTACATCTGCTATCTTTCCTTTGGATATAATTCAATACCTGTTGCGGTATTTGCCAAAGAAGTAGTTGTTATCCGAAGGGAAACGGTCGCTCGTATTTTGTGTAACGTCTTTGTTTTATTTATTTTACGTTGTTTATATTTATTTTCAGTTTGGAATTCCTTTGTTTGGTTAAATTTTTTTGTGAGTTTGAGACTTTGATCCTCTGGTTTCTGCGTATTGCTTTATTTTAAATAAATTTATCTAATATACCAACAAGTCCAACATTTATTTTTAATTAAAATCAATAGAATTTTGAGGTGACTTCGTCATTGACAAGAATGAAGGCTGCGAGACTAAAAAAAGAGTGTATGATGCTGGAATGCTAGAATATGGTTGATAGCATCCTCTCCACTTCGTAACAATTCAGAACGATTCCCGCACTTTATAAAATCACCCTTAATTTGATTCGCACTGTAGTTTGCTTAAGTAGTGGTAAAATCCCTAAAATTTTGTGTCACATATTACAATTTAGAATAAACATCATTACAAAATTAATGTAAAAAATATGACTGATGCTGTTTGAAAAATGACAGTTACTAAGTAAATATTCGAGGGATGCTAAATTGGTGGTTCCCACCTTATCTGAATTGAGGCCCCATGGGAAACTTGTAGCACAAAAGAAATGTCTCTGAATTTTTAGGTTTGTGAAGCAATGGATTTACTCAGGCTAAAACATGTATGTTTTCACATTGTTACACCTAATTTTTAAGAACCATTCCCTCTTGCCTTTTGATCTTTCAACAATTTATTTAAAAATATTTGAGCCCTTATTGAGCCTGCCCATATAAAAATGTTTAGCCCTTTGCCCCTTAAGTCTGTCTGTGTAAAAATATTTATTTCCTTTACTTCTTGAGCCAGCCCATGTAAAAATGTTTGGTGCTTTTACACTATGTAAAAATATTTGGGTCCTCTACCTCTTATGCCTGTCCATTTAAAAATATTTGGTCGCTTTTATCATGTATGCCTGCCCATGGAATAATATCTTAAGCCTGTACATATAAAAATATTTGTGAGCCTGCCCATATCAAAACATGTGGTCCCTTTACGACTTATACTTGTCGATATAATATTTGGACCATTTACCACTAAAGCCTACCCATGTAAAAATATTTGGACCCTTTACCTTTTTGATCCTAATATCGAATTCAGATACGAATTCCATTCTGGAGTACATTAAAACGAGTGCAAAATAACACTAAATCACAATCATGTATGTTATTTGCAAAAGATCCACATTTATTTCAAGTTAAAATAATTATTTTAATTTATCACTTTCTCTTACAATAAATAAACATTCAAATAAAATCCTAAGATGTTTAAAAAAATTCAATTAATTTATTTGACGTTTAGGAATGACAGCAATAAAAAAAATACTCTTGTTTCATAGTTAACAGGCATGGCTATCTGAAATCAGTATCCTAGCTGCACTGTACAAATAAGCTCTATAAAAAATGCATTGTGTTTTTTTAAACATTCATATTTAACTTTTAAACCAAAAATTCTAAAAATCAATAGGGTTCACGGTTGGAATAAATTATCAAGTCGATTGCCACTTTCGTTCTAGAGTTATCATGTTGGCTCACATACATAAGCCAGATGACCAGGCGATAATTTTATGCATTTTCAGACTGAGAGTGGTCAAAACATGGAGAAAAGTGGGTGTAAGAAATCTTTCTCCTCAGATTTCTTTCTCAGAGCTTTCTAAGGTCTAACAACAGAGATATGTGGGGTAAAAAATTTTGGGATGGCCGGTATATCAATTCTATCAATACATTAAAAATGTTTCCGAAAAATACATAAAAATAGGGATGTGTCAAGTAACGCCACTTTTAAATTTGATAAATTCATCCTTAGAAATATCAAAAATACCTAATGCTTTAAAAATTGCTATGGTAGTCTTTGTTCCCAAGACAAAAAAATGCAAATAAAGCTACATATTTAAAGCATATTAGTATGTTAAATTGTATCAAAAACATCATTGCTGAACAAATTGTTCATTTTTAGAACATAATAAACTTATTACTAGAATATAATTGGGCTTCAGAAGCAAGCATAACTGCGAATCAGTGTGTTTTATATGCCTGGAAATATAAATTTGATAAAAAACTATCTAAATTTGGCAGTTTTTATAGATCTGCAAAGAGCATTCGAGACTGTTGATCAAAACCATTTGTTGAAAAAATTAAAAAGTACTTAAGGATATAGTAGATTATCTAAGTAACAAGAAACAAAGGTTTAAAGTAAATAACATCTTATCAGAAGAAATTAACTATATCAAAGATGTTCCAAAGGGAAGTATATTGGATCATCTGTTATTTTTAGTTTATATTAATGACAATGTTGATCTATAAAAAAATAAACGGTTTGCTGATAATGCCCTTATACAGGGTGTTGCATGACGTACAGTAAAAACTTAAATATGAACAAATATGTAATTCTCCATGGTTATCAAGCTACAAGCATTCAAACATCAGAAGATAAATTAACATAGTACTTATGCCATATTTTTAAAATTTTTACTTTAATTATTGTTCTTCAATATTCTTTTTCTAAATCAAAATGGGTTGAACTGACTACAGAGGCAGCAGAATAGGGCAACGCGAATAATATTATCTTGTTTAAAATATTCTCCCATTAATCTAATGCTTAAAACTTTGAATTGGTAGCCAATCAAAAGTCTCCCCTACCATGACATATAAAAAGACTTTGATAAAAGTTGTCTAATAACAGTAATTTCAAATATTGATACTTTTAATCAACCTAAATTAGAGATTTAAAAAACAATGCAATTATATTTTCAATATTTAATAATAATATTAGTATTAATTTCTATCATAGTGACATTTGTTAGCTGGGAAAGTGACACATGCTAGCTGGGAAAGTTACTTTGGGGTTCAGGGATGGTCTTAATAATTCATAGGGGGATTTTTGAGATTTGTTCCTGAATTTTCAAATTATTCAATTAATCTCTTATTGAAATACTGCACAAAATGTTAACTGAATGCCCTTAATAGGTCTACCAAAGAGATGTTTTTTTATCCATATATGAGAATGTCTTTGTTGTATCTATATTGCCATGAAAATAAAGCTTCAAAATATGTTTGTATGTAAATTCATTTAAACCTAGGTGACTTTGACAGGGAGAATAGCATTATTTGTTAATTTATTCCCACTGTACTTAGTAATTTGTTAATAATTCAAAATTATTTTAATAGATATGAAATAGATTAAATTTTAAGCAAGTTTTATTTCTAATACCTAAAATAATAACACAATTTCAAATTAAAATGTGTATATAAGGTGTTTGAAAAACCGCCAAGTGCATACCTGTAAGTACACACTGCAGTGGTCTGCAGGGTATACAAACAGAAAACTCAAAATTAATATGAATATTTTTGCTAATCTTCAATATTATTTTCTTTGCATGGGCTACATGTATGTCTGCAAAATGACTTCCACAAGATAATATATTTTTATGCATCCCTGGTGTTCTTCAATTTTACTTTATAACCAACCCATATTAGTTCAAAGCATAAATTTCATTTCTTTTATAAAACAATTGAACCCATGATAAATAATTAGCAAATTAACAATGAAAAACCCACTTATTTAATGATCATTAAACCATGACTTAAACTTGGTTTGATTATTTAACATTAAAATTTAATATAAAAAGTAAGAACTAATTAGTTACATAAAGTTCTTATTTCTGCAAAATTGATTATAAACAATTTCCCTATCAGATATTATTGCTAATGGCAATATTTTTTAGTTATAGTTTAAGTAAGTATATGGGTACAAAACAATGTACTTGGTACTGTTATCTAAAGACACATTTATACATGAAAATAATTTTATCTTTTTATATATTTACATTAAATAATATGACATACAATATAAATATTGACCACACCTTTAAAAATAGAAAAATAAATTAAAGGATTTGAAGAATTGTTAAAGAGGAAGTGAAAATTAAGCAACATGAATAAATGTTCTCAACTGAACTGAAACGCTAAATAGACGTAATATTTACTTTAGATACAGTATCTCCCATGACATCACTAGGTTCATCATCAGAGATTTTTTCCTTAGAGACCTTTTTCTTGTGTTCCTCAACATCGCTCAACAATCTTTCTAGATATTCAACATAAAATTCTTCCTTTTCTAATTCTTCCTTTAATAATTGCACCTTTTGTTTATGTTTTGCTAAGTTTGCTCTAACATCCTCCTCCCAGGCACCAGGTAAAGGGCTGTCAGGAAACCTTTGTAGCCAAACCTGCTGAAAATCACCAAACACACTCATTGCCCTAGTTTCTATCACATTATTTAAAACAGAAATATTTAGTTTTAGTAACTTTTACGAGCAAATTACGGAAATAAAAAGCATTTTGTTCATACACAACTTTCACTCACAAATAAATAGAAAAATGACAAGTTGACATGCAATAATGACAGCGCAATGACATTCGAATCGTTGACATTTGGCAGCAATGACAAGTAAAATCGCGTTCTTTTAGTACGTTTTCTCTTAACTCTGAACAACATATGAACTAAAATTTTGTAAGATTTTCCCAATTTTCTTTGAAAACATCCTTTAAAATTGTAAAATTTAAGTGAGTTCATCTTGTTTTAACTTTAAAATGGAATATAATAATTATAACTTCTTTAAAGTTTTTTTTTGATTCATAGTTCTGATTACATGTCACTAAAGTCAGAGTTGTAAATGGAACACAATTTTTGTAGACGGTGTTCGAAAAAGTCAAGTGTTTGTGGTGTGTTTATTTTTAATTAAATAGTTTATACTTATTATCATTTATAAGTAGTTCCAATGAAATGGCATCTGCATTGGAACAGTTTGTGAATACTGTTAGGACTTCATCTTCCCACGGTTAATATTTTATATAAAAAAACGTTGTACACATTATTGAAGGTTATGGTTTCAGGTAACTTTAGGGAGCTTTGTGAATATATAAATAAATCTAGTGAAATACTAATAAAGCACAGTCAACATTTGGATAATGTATTGGAAACTTTAGATATTCAGCAGCATTCTTTAGGAATTTTGGCTGTATTATGTGCTAAATTTAGTGTTCAACCTGCCGCCAATTCAACTGATAACAGATTTACTCAAGCCCAAGATTTCATATTGAACTGCAATGGAGAACAAATTAGGTTTGCACCCGATACTTGTAAGTATAATTTTTTCAATGGTATGTCCAATTATTATTAAAAATTGTTTAAAAAAAAATTACAAATATGTTTGTATATTTGAAGTATACAGTATTTTATATATTTGAAGAGCCCAGGGGAAAAACATGATGAGCGCCAATTCCATATTTTTAAGGTTTCACTGGTCCATACAAAATACATAAACTAGGCAGGGAAATACGCCGTTAATTTCCATGATAAATGCCTAGTAAAGTTATACATACAGGGAAAGAATGTGATAATGACCATCGTTTTTTGTCTTTCCTGTAAAATTAGCAAAATGGAGTTTATGTTTTTCCCTGGACTCTTCATTTACTAAAGAGTTAGAAGCCCATCAACAATGGTTAAAATTAAGAGCTAATTTATTTGGTTAACCAAGTAATCCTAAGCTAAACAGAATTTAATATGACAATAATTATAGGTAGCACTACATTATTACTATTTGAATTACAATATAACTCATCTATTTAGTTGCCTTATAAAGCTCTTCCAATTAAAATAATGATATAATTGAAAGAAGTAAATGTTGACAAGTTTACATTTTCTATAAAAAAAATGCTTACATCCATAACTAATTCCAGGGAAACAAAATTAAGAATTGAAAGTTGTTTGAGAGTAGTTGAATTACATAAATTGTAATCACTTTGTACATACAGATGGATTTCCCTCTGGTTTTCCACATAGGTGCAAACTAAATAAGTATTTTTGTAGTATTTTTGTCTTTTGTACTATGATTATTGTTACGTTTTTACCTACTTACTTTAGTAATAATAAATTTTCAAAGAAAAGTGTTAACCATACATATGAATTGATAACATTTACTTACTTATAATATCGCTGTCTCAGTTCAAAACTTTAACATCTCAAAAATTTTAGGGTTTGAGATAAGAATGTATTTTAATCAAGAAAGGCAAGATCTATTACAATTCAACACTAAATTATCAAATTTTTTTTCTATGTATTTAAATAATAAACTACAAATTAGTGAAGAAAAATCTTTAAAGTCGTCTCAAAATGGCTGATTTGGAGATGTTACACTTTTGAGCTGGGACAGCAATATGCTGGCTCTGATTTAATCCTTTTATAATATCTAGAGTGGACCACTGAAAACAGTCCACCCTGATATTTGGCAGTCATTGGGGTCTATTCTGTAACAATTCCTTTATATTTAACGGCCTTTAAAAATATTTTCTTCTTTACTTCTGTCATTATTTAAATGGATGTTTAAAATACATTAGAGGACTATCTTAAAGAAATCTGTTTAAATAATGACAGAAGTAAATTAACGAATACAAACATATTTTTAAAGGCCGCCAATATTTTTAAAGGCCGTTAAATATAAAGGAATTGTTACAGAATATACCCCATTATTAGATAAAACAAGTCGATTTTTAATCTAAAAGGGACATCTTTTTTTATGATATAGAGGTCTTCCACATCCCCTTAATTTGAAATAGGGAATGTTCCATGTGTGGCACATCATTGAAAATATAATTTTTGGAGAATTCATTACTTTTCATTGTGTTATATTTGATTTTAGCGCCCTCTAGTGTTGTAAAGTGTGATGTTTCGTTTAAAGCTAATTATATCGATTAAATCAACAATCAACCAAAATAACATATATGAACACTTTACAACACAGAATAGTGCTAAAATCAAACATAATGCAATGAATAATCATTTTAAAGGCCTAAAAAATTGAATTTAGTCTTGATCCTTAATGATTTATTTTTTTGAAAATATGACAATATGAAAATATGAGTGAAACTAATCTGCTGAATCATTAGTATCAAAAATTTTATTTGTAATTTCGTGCTAAATATCACTTTTTATTTTCATAGGGTAATATTTATCCGAAGAATAATTGTATATAAAAAACATGAGTACTCTAGAAAATTAAGATTTTTATTTGCTAAAAAGATGCAGGTAACTTTTTTAAATAAATATGCAAAGTTTCATTTTAATTTCTTTTTGCTATTTCTACTTTACACATTGTATAAATACATTAATGCTTCTATCCCCACTGCTACTTTAAAATGAGCTCCACCTCGTGGTGTAACTTAGTATGACATTTCCATCCCTTCCCACATCCCTGAAAATCGATCAGTTTCAGTATTTTTAAAACCTAACAATTACTGCCAAATATCTGAACTGTTTTCAGTGGCTCACTCTGTATAATCAATTTTAGTTGCAGAATTATGCCATTCTCTCACCAATTACTTAGTCGAACAGAAACAACCATTAAAAGGGATAGTACTATTGCAAAAGGCTATTTCAAAGTTAAGACTGTATGATTCACAATTGACATCTATCCATGCAGATCTTTGCAAATTGTGTCTGCTGGCTAAATGCTTTAAGCCAGCTCTGGAATTATTGAATATTGACATAACAGGAATATGTCAAGAGGTAAAATATTTTTGAGTACAAATTTGAATTTTGTTTTAAATTTAAATGTTTTGTAAAACTTAATGCACACCTAATCCATCACAGCAGGAACAGACTGGATATTTTGATCTTGCAAAAAACAAGAAACTCATTCTGTCCTGACTTAGGTGGTTAAAAAGTAGTAGAATATAAAATATACAAAATGTTCATTATATTTTGTAGAACTATTACTCTAAACAATATAATACATTATTAGCTTTGTTCGCGGTAAGAATCCTGAACCGAATTATTACTAATAGTAACGATTTCGCAGGCGCAGTAGTTAAAAAGCGTTCGCGGAACAAAAAGAACTGAACTATTGGCTCTATCCTGCGTTTGCGTTAAAATTATTATTGGTTTTGAACCACTTGTCTATACCTGAAACACCGATATATAATAGGGATTGTGCGCGTGGTAATAATTCAGAATTGATAATGAATCAAGCATGCGCTCAAAGTATGAATTAGTAATTCTGAATCAGTTCAGGATTGTTACTGCGAACGAAGCTATTGTAAGGATTGTTACCGCGAACGAAGCTATTGTAAACATTTTTACTTATTTTAACTAAAAAGAAAAATATTAAAATAATTTATTGACTGCCATTAAAACTTCTAGTACAAAATATGTATTTTAGCTAACCCAAAACCCAAATGGACCTCAATTTGATTCGAAGTATTTTCTGTTGTATTACTATTATGGCGGTATGATCTATTTAGCTGTTCGTAATTTAGATAGAGCCTTATATTTTTTTGAAGTAGCTATAACGACACCTTCTCTAGCCGTTTCACACATTATGTTGGAAGCCTTTAAGAAATACATCCTAGTTTCACTGTTATTACATGGAAAGGTGAGTTTTTATTAACACTTTATCACTTCCAGTATATTTCTACAAATTTAAAATTGTTGGAACGCAAAAGTTAAGTTTTTAGTTAAATTTTAAAATTGTGTTTTATAGATACAAGCTATTCCTAAATATGCCTCTCAGGTGGTGACGAGATTTATAAAACCACTATCACAGCCTTATTATGAATTAGCTAATGCCTTCACATCAAATAATACAGCAGAGTTGAATGCAGTACTTAACAAACACTCTGAGGTAAGTAGTTCAATTTCTATTATCATTTAAAAAATATAAAAACGAAATTAATAATTTTTACATCTAAATAATAAAGTTTGCACTGACAACAATAAAAAAAAGAGAAACACTTTGGGGTGGGTGGCTTAGTGGTAGAGTCTCTTCCTGCGGATCCAAGGGTCCCAGGTTCGAATCCCACCTTTGGCCGAAATTTTTTCATTTGATTTAATTATTTAAAATTATTAATTCTGATGCCTTGATAGGATTCCCTACCCGACCATTCACTGTTGGGTTCTAATTATCCAGTGCTGTTCCTAAAGTGGCGCTGGGAAACAGTAACACGAAGCGAAATACCCTTAGCAGTTGAAGCCGATGACACAAAAAAAAACATTAACTTCATTAAAAATGACATTTTTAGTAACAGCCTTCACTATCAAAAAGGATTATCAGAAATGTAGTTACATTATTCAACCCTAATAAATAAAACTGAATCAGTAAAATTAGTTAGCAACCAGTTTCAGCCATCTTGGCTATCATCATTAACAAATATCAATTTCAGGGTATGAATGCCATTTAAATGGAACCAAACCTGTGTCAACTGTTAGTATCACTTTTATAGAGTTTGGTTGGGTTTCCAATTAATTTTTTTTTTTTTTTTTTTTTTCATTTCGAAATCTTGTGAAATAATGTCTAGGTATTTTTCTGAATCAATATCCCTTCCTTCTGGTTTTATAAATTCATCATTTAGTACAGATCGACAGAAATAGCTGAAGGGGCTAATGTATTTTTCATAGTGAATAGAAGTGTGGAAAGCTCATTTCACTCCGATTATTCTAGGTGGTGGTATTAATAAAAAAATCTAGTACTGCATAAATTTTAATATAATTGGTGAATTAGCTATTCTCAAGCCTATAATAAGATGTCAAATTTAATACTTTAATGTAATTAATATGGTAGAGCCATCGTCTTTAATACTCACACTATTTGTATCTTCAAGGACTTCTACTTTCATTCAAATTTAATGGCTTGAGATTGGCTAGTTAGCCGAAATAAAAATTTATCTGGAACTAGATTCCGAGTTTAGTTTATCTGATACTTCATTTAAGTTTAAGTTCTGTATATATGTGGGGTTTTCCTCACCTGTAAGTCAAATGGCTCCATCAATCATCTTTAAGTCGCCCGGAGCGCCACGGCAAATAATAATAGCTGTCTGTTCCTTCCCCAGACCACCTCAGCTTTTGGGGTTAAAATTTAGCTAGTAAGGGGTGAATTAGGGAGAGTATTATTATTATTATTATTATTATACTTTTACTTATTTCTAATTTTTGTTAAAAAAATTAAATCTTTATTTTATTGTTACATAAATTACTTTTACTCATTATTTTAAGTAAAACTTGTTGTTACAATTCTCTTATCTGCATTTGTAAACAGGTTATGGTAATACACTCATTATTTTTTTTGCTATATCTCCATTGACATATTGCCCATAGTCTATTTTTATTGCTTCCTTTTTCGTTCCCTCTCATTTCAATTCATAAGGTAAATATTTTATTTCGATGCTGTATATTGGCATACAATTCTTGATTCATTGTTCTTTCCAGTTTTCAACAAAAAAATGTTTAAAAAAAAAAAATACAAAATAATTTATTTTGTATGTAAATATTGTTATTTTTTAGATATTTAACAGAGACCACAACATGGGTCTGGTGAAACAGGTCTCTTCAGTACTATACAAAAAGAATATACAAAGGTTAACAAAAACATTTTTGACACTTAGTTTATCTGATGTTGCCAGTCGAGTAGGATTATCCAGCCCCGTAGAAGCTGAAAATCATATATTACAAATGGTAGTACTTTTATTGAATTTATAATTATTTTTGTGATTTGACGTTTTCCTGATATTCGTAGATCGAAAAACAACAAATTTTCGCTACAATAAACCAAAAAGACGGTATGGTTGTCTTCAGAGATGAACCAGATAAGTATAGTGGACCGGAAGTTCTAAAGGGTCTAGAAGAACAATTATCACTCTGCATGGAATTAGATAGGCAAATATTAGCAATGGATGAAGAAATTCAAGTCAACCCACAGTATGTTAAGAAATCTTCAGGCCTGCAAGATGAGGAACAGCCTAAGAGTACATATGCAATGTAATAAACAAATTTAATATGTTTGAGACGATTTTACGATTTTTTTTTTATAAAACAGAATGTTCTTATCTTTTCTCATGAAATGTAAGTAGAGTGTGTTTCTTAAATTCATATTTTAGGCAGATTTTTTTTTAAATAATTATTTATTTTCAAGGAAAGTTGAATAAAAACTATTAAAGGAAAAGTTTCAAAAAGTTATGAGACCATTGACGAAAAAGCTGACCTGTTTTTAAGAAATTACACTGTTTACCTAATTCACATCTTAGTTACATTCTGAAACAATCATATTGAAATTTTGTTGTGGAATGTGGTAAACATTAGAATTACAGAAACAGCTTATTTTTGTTTTGAATTTTTTTATCATGATCAACTACTTGTTTATTAAAATTTTTAAACGACTTTGTAATACTATTCTTTCTGATTCAAACAGATTTCTTAAAATAACTCGAAACTATGAATCCTGAAGCAAAAAATATATACCTACTTATGATTGATTTAATAACCCAGTTTTTAACATGCCTCCTGTCCTAGTCATAGGAATGGTAAGTTTTATGAAATACAATTAATTGGGAATAAACTTTTTTTTTTAATAACGTTATCATCGTTTCTGCAATCATCTAGAGAGCACTGCAGCAAATTTAACCTTGGAATTCAACAAAGAAAATAGAATGTTTTATCCTTCTCCAAGACATAATCTAGTTTCATGAGTCCAGTCTTCCACTGATATTTCTCTGATCCATGTATTAATTGAACATAGCTTTGCAGAAGTCCAGTTAGTAGCTCGGGTACTGTAAAAGGGTAATTTGAGCGCCTGGCTTTTCTTTTCTCGTAATGTTTCTCTATTCCAGACTAATTTTACATGATTCGCTCACCCTAAAAGGGTATGTGGCAATCCAAAAGTTCTTGTGAAGATATTCTGATAAAAGCTGCATGACTAACAGTTCAAAACACTATTTGATGGTTAGAATATCTTCTCAAAAGCTGTAATAAATGTGTGGTTATTGAGCGTACACCACAAATATCGACAATTTATTTTTACAAAAGTTGTAAACTTAAAACAAAATTCTAATAGATTTTAAAATGTGTATTTATAAGGAGTAATTAACAAAATATGGATTTGATGAAGTCCTTCAGCCTGTGGAGTTACAAACAATAAATTATTTGTTTTACAATGGTTGTGTATAGCAAACTGATGGATTTAAGACATTCTACATTTATTTTGTTAATTTTTGTGCATTTATTACTATTTACAACTTTCTACTTGTTCTAAACTCTTGCTTGTAAAACCTTGTTTTTAGAAAGCAATAAAAAATATTATTTCTATAAAAAAAACTAAATCTAATATGTTAGTTATAATAACCTAAATTGTCTCCAAGTATTTTGGTCTACATTTATTCTTGTAGCAATTCTATAAAAAAAAATCCGGAAACTTGTATCTTGGTTTGTTCTGGGACCCTGCCTTCTTCGTAAATGGCCATGTTCCTTTTCTCTTTGTGCAGTTTTTTATTTGAATCGTTTGATAGTTGGCGTGATTTTAAATTTCTCATACAAAATCTTGTTGTTTGGATTATGTAGTGGGCTGTTTTGATAACGAATTTTGAAAATTATTCTTAGGCAGAATAGTTTTATCCGGGCATTTTACATCGGGGTCGAAGAACCGCACCAAATGGACTTTCTGTCAAAAGAAAAACTTGTCTGGTAAGAGGCGACTATAAAAAATAAGAGCAACCAGAGACCTCTCAGCGACGTTATCAACCTGTAGGACTTTAATGAGCTAAGAGGCAGTTCCTAGGCACTGGAGTATGCACCTACATTACAGATAGTCAGGAAGTTTTGGTTTGATACATTGTGTATTTAAGCTTTTTCCATGAACTTCAGTATCGTGTCGTATTGAAAGCTTTGACAATAAATGTTATAATAGTTTATCAACCACATTATTTTTAACAGATTTTTAAGGTTTTTCTATTAATCTTCAGATAAAAGCATAAAATACAGAAGTAAAGGAATGATCCATTTTTTACTGGAATGAATTTTAGTTTTAAATCAATTTAACATATTTAAGATACTTTATGGGAATGCTAACAAGTACTCATATTTAAAATAATTAGTTTTAAAGTTCCTATATTTCGGAAAAAAAATCGTAAAATCGTTAAAAACATATTTAAGATCAGAATCAGTCGTGATTTTTTTGTTTTGTTTATTTTCCTTCTGTTAGAATACTCCCCACTGCAGTAACTAAGTTATTGTTAAGAAACGCGTAAATATTAGTGTATGTACAGTTGAATGCAGTTTTTCCTCACATTTTTTTAATTGAATAAATAATTAAATTATATTTTACTGACAAGATATTTATTTAAATTATTACAAATTATTATCGAGACGAAAATGCGCGAAACTTTTTTGTTTCTCATATGAACGTGGCCTTCATTTGTTGGGTAAGTTGAATAATTAATGTAAAATAATATATGAACACCTAATTTTACTGTTAGGGATCCAAATTGGCCCTGTAAGGATTGTGAAAACTTTAATTTTTTATAGCCACAACGACTAGACCAATTTTATTTACAAAAGGCGAATTCAAGCACTCACGTTATCCAACATAGTTGCCAAATTATTACGGGGTGTATGTACAAGGATGTTTGTGGTTTTAATTCTGAATTAACTTAACAAAAGACCTTAAAACGCACAACAGGCTTTTAAAATTACATTAAATTATATTTGTATTTTTAATGCCAGTTATTATCAGTTTGATGTCTTTCTGGTTGCAACTATTGTAGTTATGTAAAGCACGCGTCGTAAGTGCTAGTTCATTCATAAAACGATGGTTCGCAAACACCATATCCATTCAATTTAATGGGCGTCTCGCTTTTTCTAATGCGGCAGCCGAGGCCACAACTCTATCTGTCTAACCTAGAACATGAATTAAATACTTGCAAGTAAAAAATGCTTATTTTTGAATGAAAGGATATCTAGTAGTTGTTCGTCCTATATAGATGGTTATTGAACGACATAATCACGTCATCGTCGTGTTTGAGATCTCTTGTATCTCTCCCCGCCATAAACGGACTGTGATTATACAACTTTTTATTCTACGAACCTTAGTTTAGAAACAAACTGTAAGAGGCTTTTTGATCCATGTTAAATTATTAACATCTCTTAAAATAATTCGCGTTTTCCTAACTCAAGCCTGTTTTCCTATATTTTGTCCCCTTAATCCTATAGTTAAAATTATGTAGGAGTTACGTATTACTAACAATATTTTCTTGAATAAAAATGCCAACCTAATTTCAACGTAACTTGTACTAGGAAAAAGTAAATTTAATCAAAACTGTTAAACGATAAATTGAATCATTTAGTTCTTGTAAATAAAATATGATTAGTTTACATCTAAAATGATTTATTGATTAATTGTTTTTTGACCCATTGACCAATAATAAAATAGATAATAGCTGATTAATGGGTCAGCATTGAGGTGTTAAAACATTTTAATATCGGGATCTTTTGTTTGAGTATTGTGTATTTTTATTTGAAACTGGTAAATTCAAAATGAAAATAATTGCCATTCTTAAACATATATTCACTTAATTTTTATAATAATACCGCCACACTAATTTAATGGCTGTCGCAAAATAGCGCGTATCAAAAGCGAGCTATTGTTTGAGCGTGCTTAGAAATAGTGCACGGACGAAATAGCGCGTATCGAAACAGTGCCTGAACAAATAGCGTTTAATAGTGCTGGTCAAAACATCGCCCGAACGAAACAGCGCCTGGGGCCATTATGAGGTGCTCTGCAAAAAATATTTGCATAAAATTATTAAAAATATATATATATACAGGGTGTCCGCCGGGAAGGTATACTACTTTGTTTATAATTTTTGATAAAATGAAAGAGAATGGATCTTATATTGATAAATGTTTTATTTAATGTCGGTAATTATGTATGGAATACAATATCAGATAAATGTCCGCCTCTGTTAGCCTCACAAATGCGAGCCCTTTTGAGCACATTTTTCATTACATTCTCACACATTTCACGCGGTATTTCATTAATTTAATCACGAATATTTTGTTTGAGTTGCTCAAGCGTTTCTGGTTTGTTTGCATAAACCTTGCTTTTCAGATATCGCCACAAAAAGAAGTCCGGAGCAGTCAAATCAGGCGATCGTGGAGGCCAATCAACATCACCATTTCTTGAAATAACTTGTGGAAAGAGGTCTCGCAGTAATTCCATTGTAATACTGGCTGTATGCGATGTGGCACAGTCTTGTTGATACCACATGTTAATTAAGCCCAAAGCATGCAGTTGTGGCGTTAAAAAGTTTTCAATCATTCACAGTTACCGTTACGCCGTTTTCATTTTCAAAGAAGTAAGGTCCAATAATTCCTCCTGACCAAATTGCACACCAGACTGTCACTTTTAATGGATGCAAAGGTGACTGATGAATAATTTGAGGATTTTCCAATGTCCAGAACCGACTATTTTGTTTATTCACATATCCATTCAAATGAAAATGTGCCGCGTCACTCATTATGATTTTTTCATGAAAATCGGGGTTGTCATGGGCGAGCTGTAACATCCTATTGACATATGTACGGCGGCGTAAATGGTCTTGTGGAAGAAGCTCTTGTGTCAACTGAATCTTATATGGAAACAAATGCAAATCCTTGTGCAAAATTGTGGCCAAAGTTGTTCTTTGAAGACCAAGCTCCTGAGCACGGCGTCGAATTGAGGTTGATGGATTGTTTTGAACACTTTCTTGAGCAGCAGTAATGTTTTCAGCCGATCTTGCAGTACGTTGTGGTCCATGCTTGGGCCTATCACCTACAGACCCTCTTCCTTCGAAATCATTCACTACACGATAAATAGTGCGTTTTGTTGGCACGTTGTTTCTTCCAAAAATTTCACGTAACTTTCTCATCGTCACAGTAATCGATGATTGATTTTTATAAAATGTTTTAACGATTAAAACACGTTGGTTTATCGAATATTTTTCCATAATAAATTTGCCACGTGTCTACTTCACGACTGCCAAATATGAACTGTCAAGACTAATGTTTACCAAAATGGCGGCAAAACAAAGTAGTATACCTTCCCGGCGGACACCTTGTATAACTAATTTATCTAACCTGTGCGTGAGATCGGTTAAATTTAAATGGCCCCAGGCCGCACAGGTTAGGTTGGTTAGTTTTTTAAATTTGCTCATGGTATAATTTTTTACGAAGCTATCCACGATGGCTCCAGGCTATACAGGTTAGGTAAATTAGTTAAGTTTTTTTTTTAATAATTTCGAGCGCTTTTTTAATAATTGCTTAAGCTCAAGCGCTATTTCGTGACAGTGTCGAATTTAACACCTATAATGCCAGCTGTTCAGTAACGATGCAGTGAATTACCGCCGAGCCAACTCATCATTTTTTATGGGTACCATTTGCACCACCAACGGTCATACAGAAGTCGGAGCACCATTTCCGGCAATGGTGTCAATTACATTTATTGGTTTTATAGTGCATTTGTTTTGCAATATCTTATGTCATCTACACCAGGGCTGTCCAGCTTTAAGTGGCCTTGTAAATAAAATTGCTGTTATGTGGCCTTGGAAAAGCTGCTTTCGCGAAATACGTGCTTTCCTTATCGAGCCCAGGCATAAGTTTTGCAAGTTGGGGTAAAATTCTCATGGGAGTAATTTAAAAAGGTCCAATCCTAAGGCGGGTACAGATCTGAGCACGTACGCGTATGAGGCAAGCCGCGGACGCATGAGCATGCAGATGTGGACGGGCTTCCGAGGTGCGGCAAATCGGCTCGTTGTGTGCGCCGTACGGCCTCGCCTCGATCCGTTTGTTGGCGGTACATCAAAGGGAGGCAATGATATCTTAAGAGAGCAAAACGCCAGTTCCATTACAACACCGTACAAAAAGAATATCCTTGACAGAAAGTCGGCCATCGATTCCTTTCTCTCCTTTTTTCTTTAATGTGTCTGATAAAATAATAAAACATGCACTCAACTCCGCGACGTCATCCTCATTCTTCATTTTTGTTTTAATTTTACGAATGTTCTGGGCATACGGTTGCGTGCTCGCGAATTTACTGGATCAGTGGCGAAGAGCGCCTCGTGCGTCCACCATTCGTGCATACAAAATGCGTCACACGAGGCATTCGGTTCGGCCTCGGCTTGCCTCATACGCGTTACGTGCTCAGATCTGTATCCGCCTCTATATCGGTTCTTTCGTGGTAAAAAAGGTCTGATTGCAAATTACACACCAGTTGTAAGTCTGCTCTGCTTACGTCAACAAACATAGTAAGTGGCTGAGTAAAAACTGAAATTTATCCTTCGTATATCCTAAAATCGATTCTAAAATTCATCTGCAATGGTATAAGATCTGCAAAGTGCTCCTTACAGCTTGGAAAAAATGAAAACTTATGTTTTTCTAATGAATACTTGAGAAGCTAAATTGACAATATTCTACTGCTTTCCTTATAACTTCAAATTTAATTCACTAAGATGAGATGGCAGGTCTGTTAAAAATACAAGGTCTGATAGAAATTTTGCATCTATTTAATTTTCCAGTTCTGTAGTGTAGCACTTCATTTCTTTTTTAAGTAAAGTGAGAATCTCCTTGCATAGAGTGAACAGTTTCCGGCGCTTAACCAATGAATATCGGTGAGTGAAGTAACAGGTCCCCGTATGTAGCATCTATTGCGTCCAAAAACTTTCTTTGAGTTAAAGCATGATTGCCTCCTTTATATTAGTTATTTTTACAACCACTTCCATGATATTCATTTGACGTAAGGACATTGGTGAACAATGCAGTGTATCAGAGGACAGTTGATATTGTTTTGATTTGAGAGTCCTGCAAATCTAATTTTAGTTTCTGTCATAGCTCTGGCTTCAACATTTATCGAATTCCCCATATTCACCTTGTTTACATCTCAAAAATATCCGTACCCTTGGTTGTACCATGGAGGGGAATAAGATCAAGCATCTCCTCTAGTACACTGAAATGTCGTAGTTCAAACAAAAATTTTAAATTGGCTGATTTCGTCCAGACAGAGTGATTTTTTTTTACATACATTTTTCAATTGTGTTGTTAAATTTAATGGAATTGTTTTGCCATTTTGATTGCACAATTTTTAATAAGCATTCCATCACTAAAAGGTTTTTTCGCTATCGCAATTTTCAGTGTTACTTCGTAAGAAGCGGTAATGCTGCATTTGTTATCAGTGAGACTTTAAATTTTTTTTGCCGTTTTAGCTGTCTCTTATAATCCGTAATGTTAGCATTTCTAGACTCCCATGTGTACTTAAAACGGTTTGTTGTGTAACGTAGTGTAATGTTTCACATTATATTCTTTAGGAATTGATAGTACTCACTTGAATTTGATAATAGTTTCATACAAAAAATGCACTGAAGTGTATTATTGTTGTTTGTGATTAAATAGTAGGATTAACAGCGGTCATTATAAACTCGATGTTCATTCGTTATTTTTCTTTCCAAAATAACTAAATTATTAACAAATAAACACTTTATCGTAACAATAACCTTCACGAGTCATATTCAACGTTTTTCTATCTATGAGTCTCTATTCTACATTATTAACTCTGCCATCCTGCTCGACTCGAATCTTATATTCGCACGAATGGCCATTCGAATGTTCGAGAGTGATCCAATAAGAATCAAGATCTCCAATGTTCCAGTAACTTTTGTGCGGCCTTCTATCTGTTGGCGTCACAGCCTATGGTTGAAAATGAGTGGGATGATCTCATCGCCTTCCACAGCAACCCAGATGGGTCTATTGTGGTTGTCACATAGCCTATGCATGTGTTATTTCATTGTTGATTTAGAAATGGCTCCTTTGTATATATTTTCGTTTTTAGGCATATTTCTATTGCTCCGCCGTCCGTAAAGAATGTATAGCGGGCCGCATGTAGCTCGCGGCTTTATGTAGGATGTTGGACCGCCCTGATCTATGCAATTATCTTTAAAAAGAAAATAACAGGCTATGATATTACGCAGATTAATATTAGGGTGCTGTATTATGATGCTGGTTTTTACGAATAATTTGAGGTATCAGCTGATCGAAAACGGCGCGCGAAAATTCTAATTATGATCTGCTCATTGCCATCACAGATTTCTTCAGCTAAGTATCATACCTCTGAAATACATCTTAATTTAACAAAATTTCAAATTCTTCATTAATTTAGCAATGTAAATCTTTAATTTTGGTATAACAGTAACAAAAGGGTTTAATCACATTTTTTAATTAAACTATTTGCAATTAAAATATATAAAAATCAGGTACAACAAAATTATTAATTTCAAACATATAACCAAAAAATACAAAAAAAAATTAACCGATTAACATAAGGCATATAGGTAGGTTGTAGTATTTCTATGTTTAATACATTTGCCGCGTTTGAGAATCCACATCGGATGCATCTGAGATGTAGTAAATCTTTGATCACGTGATTCAGTATACGTAAATGTAATGGGACAGATGTGTCCGATGTGGATAAAAAAACGCTCGAGATGTAAAAAATGCATCCGATGTGGATTCTCAAACGCGGCAATTAATATCAAAATATTTAACTCTAATTCCCCAGAATGACAACTGTGTTTAAAAAAAAATACTAATTTTACTTTTTACTACATGCTATTATACAAAGTAAAAATATCCCTCATTATATGTTTGGCAACCTCATCTAAATCATTAGTTCCACAAAAATAATCAACATTATCAACTTTTGTCCTAACTTCTTTTAATTGTGAAAGATGTTCTGGCCATGCACACAGTTCAAAGTAACCAGGAACATCTGGAGGATCATACACTCGTACTTCTCGTCTCTTTAAACACTCTTCTTTTGTTAAAGTGAAGTAATATTTCAGATCAAATAAAGGCACTAGTGGCTCATAGTTAAAAATGCTAAAACCTTCAATAAGTAAGACCTTTAATTTAGCAGTTCTTAAACTGTTAGAAATATCGTGGAAGTTGATGTCTTCTACAATTTTCTTACAGTTGTGATTTATCCTAACCTATAAATATAAAGAAAATTTAGAATTGATAAATTTAAAAGAAAAATCGATATTTCTTACCAACTTTTCATTATTTAAAATATTTAAAACATCTTTGTGCATCTTATCCATATCTAAACTTGTGAGAATATCATAGTTAACATGATTTAATTCTTGAATCCATTTGTGTCTTGGATTATCATTATCGAAATAATAATCATCTTGGGTAATAATTTTACAGTTAGGTAAAAAACTACGTAATTTGTGGGCAGTTGTTGTTTTCCCCCCACATGTTACTCCACTTATCCCCACAATTATTAATGTTTCTTCCCGTTTCTCAGACATTTCTTCAAATCAAACCACAATGAAATGGAAATCGTCTGTTGTTTAGGTTAATAAAGTATTTTTAATCGCCAATATAAATTATGTTTACTTTTTGATTTTACGTAATGTTGAAAAACAGGATAATTACAACGCACATTACCATACTTGGCCTCGTTTTTAATCATATTGATTTTAGGAAATAGTTTCAAGATCAATCAGCTTATCAAAAAATTCTAATTTGCAAGGTCAAAATAAAAAAATGCATTTCAAGTTTTAAATTTACCTAGACGTATTTTCGCGACGAATAATTTTAACTTCAACAATTGGAAATTATTCGAAGACCATCTCCGATTATTGGAGCACCCGGCTGATGAAATTATGTAATAATTCATCACTTGTGAGATATTTTAATGTAAAAAAATAATAAGATTATAATTCAAATTATTTTTCCCGCGTTGGGTAAGTAGGCAAAACAATACAGAGTTGTCATACCAACTAATTTATTTATAATAGATTTTTGTCAAAACAGGTAACGATCTTCCTAAGGTAAAGTTAAGATTTCCGTACAGGGGACACCGCTGTTACCTTTGTTACTCAAATTATATTGTGACTCAAATTGAGATTCGGAATGATATTTTTGACTTTAAAAAATAGACAGATTTGTTGTCAACTTACATTTATTATAAAATGTACCCCCAGAGGGCGTATCGCTGTTGCTTTTTATTATTGTTGGTAGCCCCGAAATTTGACAGATAAATTTGACTTTGACAGACAATTCTTTCAAAATAAAAACATTCAAAAAGGAGCAAAGTTATAATATTGATAAAACTTGTTTGCTTATTTATGCGAACAGAGATGACTGACTGGTTTACACAGTTGAAAAACGCCAAAAAGTCTTGTTTAAAAGACAAAAATTTGAAAAAAATTCATTACGAACTAGAGAATGGACAGCAAATGGTTGAAGAATACAATTTGGACACTGATGTTTTAACTAGAAGAGCATGGAAATGTATGGGCAAATTTGCCGATGACGATAAATGGGATATTGAAATTGGAGATCCCGAGCCTACTTACAACAGTAAAGGAGATGAGGTCATTAAGGAAAGTACTGGACAGCCAATAGTATCTAGAAGAAATACAAGGATTAATTTAGAATGGAGAATCCGAAATTTACCATATCCAGTAGAAACGTACACCGTAACAGCAAATACTGATGAACACTGCCTTGTAGTTAGAACAACTAACAAAAAATATTTTAAAAAATTACCCATTCCCGATTTGCAGAGATTAAATATTATGCTAGAGCAAGCCAATGTATCCTTCACTCATAAATTTAATACACTAATTATCGTTTACCAAAAACCTAAACAACTGTTGGATTTTGAAAAGGCTTTGTACAATGAAATTAAAAATGTTGAACCTGAAAGTCAAGATGTGAATAATTGCAAACCAAGTTAATATGTTAGTGAATCATTATAAAGACTTTGGAACTAAGGAGAAAAGAAACATTTCAGTGATTTACATAAAAATAATTTATTGAATAAATAAAATAATTCACTCATACACATTATTTACAAATTAAGTAATGCACAAGTTATCCAAAATTTTCAAAATGGTGAATGAAATAAGGAAGTTTTCTAGCTGTGTTCACCTCATCACAAGCTGACATCACACTTTTTGTTAGGGGTCTGGGTCCACAGCTGAAGACACCAATTTTGCTTACCTAAAATTATACAGTATTATGATATTTCACTAATGCTACTTAACATATTATAGACATAAATGTTTTATGCATGATAAATTAAATATGAACAAAGCTGCCTGTTGTTAAAAACTATACGTTTAAACTAAAAAAAAATTTTTGGTATCCCTATATCTTTTCTATTTTCCAACTTTATCTATTGTACTAATTTTCTGTGCTTTAGATAGTTTTTGAATTTGCTATCTGTCCTTTAAATTCACTTTGGCTTACATCTTGTCAATCTTGGTATTCAACCTACTAAGGCACTCATCATTTACTGTGATGTACTTCATAGTACTTCATGTACTACAAGACCGTAAAGTAACACTAGTCATAAAGCTTTCAGTGAGGTGTCATCAGTATTGTATGTAATCCGCTTGCAATTGTTTTTAAACAACTAATCCTTGAATTTTATTGATGATGATCCTTTTAGCCATGGAACCTTATTAGTTTAACCAATTTTTGTCGCTTGAGCATTGCCATTTCACTATAGGAAAGATTTGGTTCATCAGAGTAAATGGTGAGTGATATTTTTGTTGCATACTTTTATATCGTCTTAGTTTTCAGTATATTATTTTAATAAAAGTTGAAATCAGAATTTAAATGTTATTTAAATCGTTTTGCATTATTATAGTATGTGTTATTCCATTTACATAATGGGCCTGGCTTTGTGGTATCCAGATTTTTTTACTTACAAAATATACAGGTTGTCCACGGAAGTAATGTGTTCCTTACTCCTATGGATATTTAGAATAAAAATTAATATCAATTTTTTAAGGAGTAATTAAAATTTTGATAATTTTAAAGCTAAGTATAAATATAAAGCCGAAACATATCTATGTTGCTCAGTAAAATTTACAAACAACAAAAGCAGTATACTATTTTATAAGGGGTAAAAGAGATACTTTTGCGATGAGTGACAGACAGATCACAAGAATTTTCATTTACACTTTAAAACGTCAAAAATAAATGAATTTTATCACCAAAGACTTTGTACTTTTATCTTTGCTCTCAGTGGCAGTAAAAGCACTGTTCCTTCGCTGCCAATATCAACACCTTGTCAAAATAGTCAAACAACTTTTACATCACAAAATTCTTAGTAAAATGTCAGGTTTATTTTTGATGTTTAAAGAAAAAAAATTAAAAAAAAACAATCAGAGATTCAATAGCTATTTTTGCATTTTCCAATCTTACTCATTTTCCACAAAAGTTATCACTTAAAATTATCACATAAAATCTATGGGGCAGTAATTTTATTAAATTTCCAACAGGTAAACAAATGTAATGCACAAAAAAGGTCATGTTCTGATTCAATTAACGTAAACATACTAATATCTTACATTTCTGCAATTTACAAGCATTAAAGTGTATCCAATGTTGACGAATGTATCCAATAATACCTATGCTTTCAAGGAATGCATTATTTTCGTAGACACATAATGTTATTTCTGTAGTTTGCTATATATTAATATAAATTCTACCTACTAAATAAACGAAACACACATTTATATACAGTAGAGCATCGATAATCCGGATTAATTGTGACCGGACTCTGTTCGGATTTTAGAAAAGAACCAAAAAAGGTCGCTTGCTAAAACCGTTAATAATTCACTTTTGTGGTTAAATAATTGAGCAGATAAATAAAGTCATTAATTAATATGAATTTATTTGAAGACCCCAGCCTGTTGCATCAACGCGTTTATTTAACAGATATGCATGTATGTAGGTATTCACTTCAACTTTTTATTGTTTTCCACCTGAATTGAATTCGGATTAATGACGGTTCAGATTTTTGACGTCCGAATTATAGACGTTCTACTGTAGGTAATTTCTAAAATAAAATTTGAAGTACTAAATATCTTACATAACTATGTCGTTTTTGGACAAATTTCAAAAAAGACGTCATATCTGGTCTACCAAAATGATTAACAGCTTTTAATCCTGTGAAAATTGAAGTTTTTGATAATCTTTGGAAGTGGTTTTCGCAAATATATAACATTGTAGTTCTTAAATCAAATTTATGGAAAAATTGTGTTATGAAAATATGAATTTCTAATACGTTTGTAACATCCTTTTTTTCTACGTCCCTCAATACATCAATGAACCATTCAAAATGTTTATGGGAAGGACAAATCCATAGAAAATAGACCTAAAACAAAAATATTTACAATTTGTCAAAAAAATTTTTTTTTAAACTCACTTTTTTACATGCTACTCCTGAATATCTGTTGGTAGACGTTCCAAAAACTAAATCATTAAGAATGGATGCATATGGGGTGACCCCAATACCACCCCCTACCATCACAGCAACTTGAAATTTGTACCAGTCTTGATTCCCTCCTCCAAACGGACCTTCTAGTAATATTTTAGGTTGATCTTCAGGGTTATAGTTACAAGGATCGAAGTAATTACGTAACTTCCAAGTCCAAGGGCCTAAAACAAAATGATTCTGAAAAGTTACTTTAGTGATAAGTTATAAAATCAAATATTTTGTTTTTATTCCTATAGAAACAAAATCAACAGATATTAGTGCGACAAAATGAGGATATCTTTCCTCTGGCCATCAAAAAACATGGCCTAGCGCCAGAAAGAGTTTTAGGGACTAAAAAGGGGTTTTGCCGTGGAGCTGGATGGAATTGTTCCAAATGTGAGTGGCAATAGCTAGAATAAAATCAGTTGCTGGCAAAACCCATATTGTCTGTCATGGATTCATTCCAGATAATTAAGGAGTTTTAAAAATTATGTACAATGCTGCATTAAATACCAATTAAAGGGTTTCTTTTATCGGCAGAGTGAACACGCATTATAACAGTCTTAATTCAATATCCCAATGAGCATAATATAGCCGTGGAGGTAGATGCAGTTTACCCTGTATTTTTGTAGGATATTGATGTTTTCCTATAATTCTTCATTTATATTCATGATTTAATAGTTAACTCTGAAATAATTTTGCCCACTGTACTTAATAAAAACTAACATAATGTGAAAATCATACACCTGTTTACAAGGCCTTACGTCGAAATGTTCTGGAAGCATCAAAATCAGACATAATTATCCTTCCTCCATGATCAGACATTGGTACTTCACTTGGAAAACATCTATAATATGTCAATCACAGGCACAGCGTTATGGATAGACAAGTCATGTCACCGAGTCCTTTTAACCAGTCTGTTCAATTTTGTGGTTCAACCACTGCTTGCATACCAGTCGTTCATAACATCTTTTCTTATCTGACTGCTGGCTCCGGAATTTTTCAAAAAGTTAATACTTTTTTCGGCTATTAAACATGTCTAACTCATTGCGTTCGGTTTGCCACGTTCCTTTAACTCCTTTAACACTTTTAACTCCAAACGACTCTTTTAGCGTTCGGTTTAGTCCGATTAGTGACAGCTTAACACGCTTAAATGTCATTTAAAAGCACCCTAAAATTTGTCCCGCTCCAGCCCCTTACTGACCGAACTCGCCTACTGTAGTTGAATTCAAAAATAATAGGCAGTTTGTATAATTAAAGGTATTCTTTCATAGAAGTTGTATATGGCAACTCTGTCAGCATTCTTCACACATTCATAACTTTCAATTCTGCCTATTTATGTGATAGTTTGAGATAATAGGTAAATCACATTTTGTGTATTCTTATGAATAATAAATAAATAAAGGATCGGTATTACGGGTAGACTATACAATCTATTACATTACATTGTTCTTCTCACTATACAGACAACGGTTGATCTAAGAAAAAAGTCTATGAAAATAAATACCTTACCTTGAGCTTTTATATGACAAGACAAATAGTTCTCGTGCGGAGCAGATGTAAGGGTGAAAGAATGAAATTCGTAATTAAATGCCGTACAAGCTAATCTGACCCACTGGCCTGACAAATACTTCAAATTTGGAGGTCTGTAGAATTTTATTTTAATCACATCTGAAGGTAACAATTCTGTTTCTAATACATCTAATGGGATATACCTTGTTCTTAAACTAACCACCTAAAACGAAAAATATGTTTTTTTTTATAACAAATCAATAATAATAATATCGTCATTTTTTGTTACGCTAGTCAACTAGTATTTTGTTTGTTTAATGTTAGACTTGTTTTTATTAATCAAATGGAAAAAAATGAATAATTTAAGCGAAATGTGATGCATTCTATCCAATAAGCAAGGCGGTATTAACGTAAAACCACTTGTAATTTTTCATTCAACTATAAAAACGCACACTATATTATCGTTTCAGTCATTTGAGAGATATATAACAACAAGGATCATATTTCTAAGGATAGCGGCGCACAGTGGCGCGAAGGGAAACGAATACTTAATAGTTGTTATGGACTATTTTTCAAAGTGGCCCGAAATAGTGCCTATTCCTAATCAGGAAACGACGACAGTAGCGGAAGCCTTTATGACGAACGAATTACATTCTGACCAAGGACGAAATTTTGAATCCGAATTATGGCAAGAATTGATGAAACTGTTAGGTATCAGGAAAACCCGCACTATGCCTCTCCACCCTCAGTCCGACGGAATGGTAGAAAGACAACAGAACGATATGCCAGTATATTTCAATGTTCATCTCTGATAATCAAGAGGACTGGGACACTTTAATTCCTCTATTTCTGCTAGCCTACCGAAGTTCTGAACATGAAACGATCATTCATGATCATTACTGGAAGGAAGATGAAACTTCCCAACGATCTTCTTTTTGGAAGGCAGCCTCCTGGTGAAGAAGAGGGCCATACACCTCCCACGTACATACAGAACCTAAGAGGAAGATTAGAGAGGGTACACGAGTTCGCTCGGCAACGTTTGAAAGTTAGTAGCGATAAAGCAAAAGCCAGAATCGACATGCATGCCACAGGGACACATTTTGAGAGAGGCGATCCAGTATGGCTGTACAATCACAAGCGCCGAAAAGGACTTTGTCAGAAACTGCAACGGAACTGGGAAGGCCCCTACACCGTCCTCAAGAAAATTAACGACCTGATCTACCGCATTCACTTGTCAGCGGGAAGTAAACCCAAGATAGTTCACGTTGAAAAGTTAGCGCCATATCGTGGTCCAGATCCTCCCCGTTAGCTCCAACCAGGTCCCAGTAATCAAGTTATTCGGGGCGAATAATTAGAGAGGAGGGAGCAATGTTACGCAGCACCCTGCAGTAGCCTGCTGCTATTATGGGAAACGTACAGATAGAAAAAGAAGTGGAATGTTACTCATCGCCCTACAGTGTGCTGTACAAGTACAAGTAATAGAAGATAGAATAGTCCAGAAATGTCTGGAAATGTCATTACCCGTCAAGAATATTCTAGACGACAGTTCTGCAAGCTATATAAGGATAATCCTGACCTCAGTTTTCAGTTTTATGATAGACGTTACATGTTAATGTTATCAGTTGTATAATTGTTGTTAAAGTTGAGTTGAAATAAATTGCGATACCAAAAACCAGTGTAACAATATTGTCATGATTTCGTCATTTGACATATGATTTTATTAAAATGAGAAAAACCAAACATGGTAGATTTTTACACTTTTATTTAAAAAAATTAAAAATTACAATAATTATTATTGTTTCGAAGTATTTCTTCAATTCTTCTGTAATTTTTATTTTTTTAAATAAAAGTGTGTGTGAAATCTACCATGTTTGGTTTTCTCATTTTAATAATATGGATTTTCATCAAGTAAAGGCCGATACAATCAAGATTATGTTTTCCGTCCTGTATCGTTGGCGTCAATAAATTCGGAAGGGCCTTAGGGTTGTGACGGCGATGGTAGTGGGATTTCGAAAATTAATGGTAATGATATATTTTGAGAAGATTGTCAGATGGTTTTAGAAATGTCAGGTGGGAAATTTAAAAAAAAAAGTCAGAAAATATTATATTGAAGTTGAGAAAATCTATTTTAAAGTTGAAGATTTTATATCGTAGAGATGAAATAAGAAAAAAAAAGAGGAAGATAAAGAAAGTTTTATTTAAATTGAAGATAAATGTGAATCGAATAGGAGGAAGGAGAACTTAGCAGGTACGAGAACTTTGCAGGAAGGAGAACTCAGCAGGAAGGAAAGTTCAGCAGAAGGAGGAATAAGAGGAGACGAGGCAGAAGAATAAGAGGTATAGAAAGTCAGGAGGTACAGTAGAAAAAAATAAGTGAAGTGAAACGGAAGCTTTAGATTTTTTTCAAATTTAAAATTGATTATATAGTTATTTTCTTGAAATATTTGTAGGAAGCTAAAGAGGAGCCACAACTCTAAAAACTCTAGGATATTGGAATGATTTAACCTTTCCGGGGTGGAACCATTATAATATATATGCGCGGGTCGGTACTCGTTACTCGTTAGCTGTAGGAATCAGAAGTACTGATGAGTACTCTAAAATGTAAAATACTCGAAATTTTTCGAGTAATAGTCCCATCAGGATGAAAGCAGTACTTATGGGTACCAAGTATACTGAGTACTTGGAGTACTCAAATACAATTTTGAGTACAATTTACTCGAGTACTGCCCAGCTCTGGTCTATACTCAATTTTCGACGTTCCTTTTTTACCCATGCATAACGGGAGTTTTTCTATAAAATCGAAAGCACCGATATGAAATAAAATTATACCTGCATGTAAGTAAGGATCAATTTGACAAAAATGACAACACGCTAAATGAAAGGGATACATTTTTGACACATTTACTGTATAGTGTCCGACATGGGTAATCTTTTAATAAACTATAAAACACTTATTAGGGCATTGATACAACTTATCAGGTTCACTTCTTTGTTCTGTTAATCGCTATATCAATGATTAGAACTATAAACGGCTCATTCACGATGAGATTTTCCTCGCCTCATGCGGCGCTAAACAGGTCTCACAAAAAACGGTCTCAAGGTACATAAACGCTACACACACTAGGTTCTTTCGTTCGTTGTTGGTGCACTGTCCACCAGTGTAAATTACACCAGTTACATTACCCTATTTACCCTAATTTACTTCTTCCTTATTCTTCATACACATGTCGAATGTAATTCACTCCTGCTAAATAACTGGTGGAGAATCCACCAGTGGACACCACATCGCCGACAGGAAGGTATAGTGGGTTTTACACCGGCCAAACGAAAGGTTTAGTGTCCGTTGGTGTCTTGGTGTAGTTTATTCCTACACCAGTGGGACGAACGAAAGAACCTACTGAGACGGTCTCACTCCACTGCCTGATATTTCAGTGGATTGCGGTCAGCTGTCAGCGTTGATTATGGCGTCTCGATATCGGCTTTCTAATGGAATATGTGTTGCAATTGGTGTAGCAGTTTGCCTGATAATTGTTGTTGAAAGAAAAACAAACCACAAAAGAAACGGTCAAACAATTGGCAACTACAAAACTGTGATTCCGCCGTAGTCGGTTTCGGTGATACCGTCTAAGGTACGTCTCGGTGATGCATGCGGCAACTGATACAAGGCCATACAAGCTGAAATTAGTCTCTTAGAAGTGTGTAGTGCCGCATGCGGAGAGGAAAATCTCATCGTGAATGGGCCGCTGTTTTAGGAGATAGTGATGATGACATGTAGTTTTTTCGCTCTTTAACATTCACTAATCTTAATTGATACTTTTTCTTCAACTATGGTTATATAAATCATTTTTAAAACGGCATAAAATGAAAAGATTGATATTTTTTAAGACTTCGTAGAGTCAAATTTGTTCTCTTTTTTGACACTGAACTAGTCTGATTCAGTTTGACTTCAAATATATCCTACTGTTTCAAAACACGTGAAATCCATAATATTACAGTACAAATCATGCGCAGTATACACTTTTTGCGTAAAGACATACTATAATTTTCGCTTGTGTTCGAACAGACCCAAAGAAAACGACTACAATGGTCTACATTACAGTCTGTTCGCTATACATACGCGGGTTTCGGATTAACAAAATTATGCAAATTAGTCATTGACAACCAGTAATCAGATGGAAATCTCACTTCATTTGTTAAACACTTTAAATTTTCAATGGGCTGTGTAGACACATGGTAAAAGTTAACGATATGTCCAACTGTGTGTAAAAGTGAAAAAAACAAGGCCGTACAAGCGGCTATTTTGTGAAATTGGATATTAGCGTCTAGGGGTATGTATTGTTGTATAGAGAAATCTTTTAATTTTGTTATTACATTTCTAGACATTGTTAAAAGTAAGATGCTGTAACAGAATGAGAGTGATGCAGCAGATCCTCTTGTAATGGCTATTCCTACGCCCATAATATGTCTGAGATCAGTGTGTTCTGTCATAAATGAATAATCTGGAAAAAATATAAAAATTTAATCATAACACACTTTCTTAATTTGAAATTATTTTGAACAATATACTATTTTTAATCATACTGTGCTTAAATGGGGCTGAGTAATAAATGCTAAGAACGAAATGTTCATAGTATCTCAATATATTAATATTCTCAGGTAGCCAACTTCGATTTGATAAGTAATTTTTTGATTTGTATCTTTGTGTGGCTTCAAAACCAAAACCGTAAGACCAAAATTCAGAAAGCACTCGGCTCATCTGGACCAAATTTTGTTTGCGTGTTTTCACTGTTATCGAAATCTGTTGGCTTGTTAATTCGAAATATTAAAACAAAGAGAGGGAATAATCTCGAATTAAGAGCTAAAAATAATCCTATGAAATGTTGAAAAACTGTTAAATTCAAAATTATAAAAAACTATTAAAAAGTTGTAATCAGAATGGGAAACAAAAGTGAGTTATAAAGATTAAATGATAACAAACTTAACAAACATTGAGAAGTAAAGGCAGCAGAAAAATAACAGAGACTTAAAAACTACAGAATGTATTCAAAGCAGTATAATGGACTGTATGTCGATAATAAATTGGTCTGTAAAATGCAGAAAAGTGTGCCTTCAATACGCGGGTTTCGGATTAACAAAATTATGCAAATTAGTCATTGACAACCAGTTCCAATAAGCCTCTTCCCAAGAAATTAGGTAAAATTGCCCTAATGGTCAGATTTAAATTAAAATAACATTAGGGTAGGTACTAAATTTGTTACAAATATTGCAGTTTAATTGATTCTTTGCAAGTGTTGACATTATATGTATATTGTAAATTTAGTGGAAATTTTAAAAATGCCTAGACGTGTGTTAGATGTAGATAGTCTAATTTGTAGTGTACATAAGTATTTTACGGATGAAAAAGAAAATGGCGGTCCTTTAAAATCGGTAATGTCTGTACAACAATGTGTATGCGATGCTCTAGGAATTAGTGAAACCAACTTAAGAGGAGTATTACAAAATCACAATAGTGAACTGCCGGAAGAAGATCACCGCAAAACTCGCCCATCATTGAAAACGAAAGATATTCCAGATGGAAAGAAATTTGAAATTCGTGATACCATTTATCGAATGAGGGCCAACAAGGAACATGTGACCTTAAATACAATTCTCTCGGAATTAATAGAAAATTTGACGACATTGGCAGAACAAGTCTATGGCAAGTGATACATAACTTGGGTTTCAAATTTCAAAAGGAGGATAATAGAAAGGCCCTTTGTGAAAGAAGTTCTGTCGTGCACAAGAGAATTAACTTTCTAAGAAAACATTCTAAATTTAAAGAAGAAGGGGCGAATTTTATATATTTAGACGAAACATGGATATTTTCTAGGGGTGCAACCAAGAGAATATGGCAAGATGATAACGTAAAGTCCATCAAACATACCGATGGAGAAGGGAAGCGACACATAATTTTACATGCAGGAGGGAAATCGGGTTTTATAGAAGGTCTTGATTTAATATTTTCATCTAAATCAAAATCCAATGACTATCACGATAATATGAACACAGAAATGTTTGTAAAATGGTTGCATGAAAAACTTCTCCCAGGTTTAAGTGAGCCCAGCGTAATTATTTTAGACAATGCACCTTACCATTCTGAAGTATTATTTCTTCAATATATATTAAAATCAGAATTATTACGCTTGGCAAATATACACGCAAAACCAAAAACCTTTGTTGTGGATCAGATTATTGAAAGTTACAGTCATCAAGTTTTACGTCTGCCACCGTATCATTGCCAGTTTAATCCCATCGAATATATAGGGGGAATAGCAAAACAATATTATGACAACCATATTGGGCCTAACGGTTATAGTGACGACGCAGTTCGGGAAACTTGGCGAAAAGCACTTTCAATTGTAACTCCAGAAGTGTGGCGGAACTGTATATCCAAGTGCGAGAAACTAATAGAAGATTGGTGGACTCGTGAAAATAAAATAAACGAAATAAGCCCAATCATAATAACAATTAATGGTGATGATGATGACGATTTATGATATTTTGGATGATAATTACTGATTTTCATTTTTGTTGGCAAGTTCAATTTTTTTATTTTTCATTTGAAATTCTCTACATGGAACAAATTTTTATGTTAGAAAATATTTTATTTGAGCTAAATAACCCTCTTATTATACATAGACCATATTTTCTGTGTGAAGTGTAATATAAAATTATTATTAGGTTTATAATAGCCACATTAGACTCCATTAATGAAGAAGTTTAATTCTGCTCTCAATTATACAAAAGATTCTCCATTATTATTTAATTAAAAAGTTGTACATTATTTTTCATTTCATTTAACCAGTTGATATTTCCTTAAAGAACAGGTCAAACTTTCGGGTACTTACCTGGAAATACTCATAAAATGTTTAATCCTAAACCCGCGTAAGTATAGCGAACAGACTGTACATTCGATAGTATATTTTAAAAATGGTATGGTCGAAAGCGACGGCCTTTCTCACGAAGAAATTGCTCAAATTAGTTAAGCTGTGGTTAAAAGACTTGAGTCTATCCATATAACAATTTACATTAGTATGCGAAAATATGAATTTTACAACCAACGAATATTGTACACAAGTTTCATGTTATCCTGATGTTTCTAAATCCAAAAATGAGAATATTTAAACTGCATACAAATTTAAAAAATGGTACTCTACCTTATCCAGTGTGAAAATTATACCAGGAATGATAAAGAAGTACCAAAACCTCGGAGCTCCCGTCAGCCTTGCTAAACCATGTATCAAACATAGTACATAAAATACAATATACAAACTATGTGTAAACCAAAAGAACTTGTAGGCTTTTTTTCTTATTGTAGGATGGGCGAAAACTATTATTATACACATAATGATAAATAATAAGACGCCGGTTACTCCTAAAAAATAAATTATATAAGTATATATAGATCATTTTAGGTTTAACTTTTTTTAACACAATATGCCACTTGCATACCTAGTATTCAGTGACAGAACGTTTACAAATATAAGGTTCTAATTATTCTACTAGCGATAAAATAAACTAAAAAAATTCTAGCCGTCCATAAGGACTGTAATTTATTTATGTTCAAGGAAACTAATTTGAAGTTCCAAAAACGTGATTCTTAATAGTCATATAAGTAATATCTATACCTATTTAATTTGCCGACAATATGCCGATACTTGTACAGACTATAGAATCATTAAAGAATAAGTCTATCTAGAAACATGGGACCTGTTTTTTAGGACACAAAGATAGAGTCGAGCACACAGGATCTAAAACGAGCCATAGTATCTTCAGAAACTGCCACCTGAGCAAAGCTCGCATTATTCACAGAGCACTTAAATCTCTAAAAAATAAGGAAAGTAACACGCTTGCTCTGTAACAGAACCACAGCAACAAAAACAGGCACGGATTGGGACTCATAAAAAAGGACTCAATTTGCATTCGACGCAGTAAAAAACGTCTAAAAGGATTTGTGCTAACTCATCGGAGACCAATCGGCTACTTCAAGGGTTCATAAAGTCATAAAAATAAATCCAGAATGGATGATTTCAGGCTACCGGTCAGTTTTCCGAAGAGAAGGCACTGAAACATCTGCTGGTCTACTATTTTCCTGGATCTTTGGTTATCAACAAGTATTAGAAATTAAAAATTTGAGTACTCGGACCACCCCTGAAGTAGCCACTTTCTAACAAAAAAAGAATTATTGAAATGGGACACCGTGTTAAAGAATTATCGCTGAACATACATAAAAAAAAATATTGCGACGAATTGATAACCTCCTCCTTTTTTGAAGTCGGTTAAAAACTGCTCCACAAAGAAAAAGGACTCGCCTGGCACACAGAAACCACAACTGTATACTGGAGGAGGGCGTCCAAGGTTATTTCTAGGGAGAAAATCAAGTGAACAATATTTACTTTTGCTCCATACAAAAGTGCTAATCTTTAAGAGTGGGCATAATACATTAAATTCAAAAGAAAAGACTTGTATTTCCTTTTGAATCTAAACTACGTGCACACAATAGCTGTCAACCTTTTTTGGTTATTTTAATACATTAAATACCAATTGGTCCCATCTACTTAATGATATATTAGCTAGAGGATTTTTTTCTCCTGGGCTCGTCTGACTATGTCTCCGAATAACACTGAAGCCTATTGGCTTATTGTGTTTTACCCCATGTTAGTTCATAGCACCCACTCTGTCACCTTTGTACCTGGTACAAGTTTGTACAGATCCTTGGGTGAGTGGGTTCCATTCGTTGTTGGATCAACCTGGGGTTGTCCAAAAAGTGCCTGTCTTTTGCGATCTAGAGCTTTGCATTCGCACATTATGTGTTTGGCCGTGACATAGTCGGCACATGAGTTACCCATTGTACATGCCAATTTTGTTCAAGTGTCCCTTTACTGGGGCGTGCCTCTGTTATCACTTTCAACTAGTTCCTATTCATAAAGAGTAGTTCTCCAGTTCTTTTGGGACATGGTCTGCCTATAAAGGCTTTTCCATGTACCTGTTTTGGGGTGCTTCCCCAATAGTTAATATGTTGTTCCCGAATTCAGTTGTTTATGAAACCCCGGACTGTACTTTTTGATACTCCTGGGTTTGTGTCTGGTTCCGGTGTTTTTTCTGACCCTCTTTTTGCAAGTTCGTCACTTTTCGTTGCCTTCGATCCCTTGGTGACCTGGCACCAAAAATAGTTTTACTCTATTTCGATCTGCAAGTATTTTTAGTTCTTCGATGCATTCGCATACCAGCCTCGACGTAACTTTCTGACTCGATATGGCCTTAAGTACCGCTTGGCTGTCTGACATTATTTGAATATGCTTATTTTCGTTTTTGCACATTGCAAAATTGCGTATACCTCGGCCTGAAATACCGAGGAATGTATTCCTATAGCATAGCTATGGTTAGTATCAGGGTTTGTGGAGAATACTCCCGCCCCAGTGCTTTCCGCAGTCTTAGACCCGTCTGTATACCAGGTTTGTTCCTGTCGTTGGGCATTGGGTTCCCTTATGGTGATCTCCGCTCTTTCCTGTATTAAAATCTCAAATGGAGTATTAAAAGAGTACCTCTTGGTTATGTGGTCTAATCTCATGTCTAGCACGTCTCCTGTCACTAACCTTGAGATACTCATGTGACCTGGCCTAATGTCAAGACTTCCCAGTGTATTCCCTAATCTATAAGGGGATACATTCGCACCGTATTTTTCTTGTTGAAACTACAGGAAATATTGAAAGATATATGAAGGAATATGCACTTTTGACTATGCATTACGAGTATGCCATTGTATTACAATATTTTCAGTACGACTACCAATCGGGTAAATCAATAGAGACGGTTCTATACTCTCTAGTTCATAAAATTGAACACGTTATTAGCCAAAAGGACATTGCTAACAGGGCCTCCAATGTTAAAAATGGTTGTGTAAAGCACGACGCGCCTGCTCATAAGAATTACCATTTTGACAAAATGCTTTGACAGCGTGGAATATGGCTGACAATACCTCGTAACGACACAGCATAATACCCGCGCTTTTCAAAATAAATCTTTTATTCTACCCCACCCTATACATTGGTCCTAGTTTGAACTCCGCTGGTTTATGGCAACTGACAGTTTAGATTCTTATATTTGCGAACATTCTATATAACATGTATTACCTGTGATGGTCTGGAACAACCAAAAAGTGATACCCGGCTTATAATCAGATGGAAATCTCACTTCATTTGTTAAACACTTTAAATTTTCAATGGGCTGTGTAGACACATGGTAAAAGTTAACGATATGTCCAACTGTGTGTAAAAGTGAAAAAAACAAGGCCGTACAAGCGGCTATTTTGTGAAATTGGATATTAGCGTCTAGGGGTATGTATTGTTGTATAGAGAAATCTTTTAATTTTGTTATTACATTTCTAGACATTGTTAAAAGTAAGATGCTGTAACAGAATGAGAGTGATGCAGCAGATCCTCTTGTAATGGCTATTCCTACGCCCATAATATGTCTGAGATCAGTGTGTTCTGTCATAAATGAATAATCTGGAAAAAATATAAAAATTTAATCATAACACACTTTCTTAATTTGAAATTATTTTGAACAATATACTATTTTTAATCATACTGTGCTTAAATGGGGCTGAGTAATAAATGCTAAGAACGAAATGTTCATAGTATCTCAATATATTAATATTCTCAGGTAGCCAACTTCGATTTGATAAGTAATTTTTTGATTTGTATCTTTGTGTGGCTTCAAAACCAAAACCGTAAGACCAAAATTCAGAAAGCACTCGGCTCATCTGGACCAAATTTTGTTTGCGTGTTTTCACTGTTATCGAAATCTGTTGGCTTGTTAATTCGAAATATTAAAACAAAGAGAGGGAATAATCTCGAATTAAGAGCTAAAAATAATCCTATGAAATGTTGAAAAACTGTTAAATTCAAAATTATAAAAAACTATTAAAAAGTTGTAATCAGAATGGGAAACAAAAGTGAGTTATAAAGATTAAATGATAACAAACTTAACAAACATTGAGAAGTAAAGGCAGCAGAAAAATAACAGAGACTTAAAAACTACAGAATGTATTCAAAGCAGTATAATGGACTGTATGTCGATAATAAATTGGTCTGTAAAATGCAGAAAAGTGTGCCTTCAATTCTTGAATAACGTGTATAGCCAAAAACTATTAAAATCTATTACACATACTTAAGATTTTACAAAAAACCAATAAAAACAATAAATTTTACTTACGTATGAACCTTTCCACAAATAGCAAAATTGTAACAACATAAAACAAAAATAAATAAAATATATTCTGTCTATTTTCCTCCAAGAAAGTGACTAGTGTGTCCCATTTCAACCTCAAAAATTTTTTCTTATCTTCTAAGCTAGGTTCTATCTGAAAACTGGTCATTCTAGCTACATTAGTTGACATATCTAAGAAATTTTGTTTAGCACCCTTACAATCCAAACCGATGGCTATGAAATCGCCCTTATATTCTTGCATCAGTACTTTAAAGTCATCATAGGTCAAGTAGTTATTATATTCCAAACCAGCATCCTAAAAATTAATTATTTTATTTTATAAAAAAACAGACGTTTGAAGTAGCCATTTTTGCCGTATAATATAGGTATTATTACCTGGAACATTCCATCTATAAGTTGAGTCACATGATCATCTGATAGGCTAGTTGTTCTGGCAATTTCCACCAAAGATCTTAACATTTCTGACAGCTCCTTTTTGTCTATTTCACCGTTCCTATCGTTATCGCACATATCGAAAATAATACGTAATTTATCTTCTGTAGCTCCTCTCGAGAAAAGTACCACTGTGTCCAAAAATTCCTGATTAAAAATTTTAGAAAATTATAATGAATGCTGAACCTATTTATTAACTTTGTTTAAAGTAGGGTTGCCACCTTTTTGAAAATTGAATAAAGGACATAAAGGGGTTTTCTCGCCACAGAGAAAACGTTTCCTTACGAATGGCGTTCATTACGGGCGGCTCTCGGGCGTCAGATTAATTATTGTGGTTTACTCCACAAACTCTCGAAGCGGCGTCGAAAGTACTCGGGTAGCTACATATGGAGATGAAAAATTCCAGGGGTCAAAGATTGTGTAGACCCAGGTAATCGGTAGCCATAAGTGACGGGCTTTAATCGTCGCTTCCGCTGAAAATTAAGGGGGAAATAAAGCAAGGTAATAGAACTGCCGATGACACCAAATAAAAAAAAATGTATATATTTCAACACCCACCCTCGTTGCGATAATAGTCAATATAAACCTTGAACAAAAAAAAAATGGACTGTATTGAATCCCGACTAGTCTCAATCAGAAGTCAAAATTGAATTAAAATGGTAGAATCGATCGCGAAAAAAAAATTAACTAGTGAACCGTCTATTCGGTTGTTGACCCGAAAAAACGAAGTGCGGTTTCTATCTTTTCTTTCTTTCTACTTATTCGGTAATTAAACAAAACATAATTTTCCATGCCATTTTCTAAGAGCGGTCGTAGCAAAAATTAACTATTTAACAATCGCAGCGGGAATTAAACTAAAATGTACTTTACTATTTCGGCAAGGAAAAATTATCTGTACGGTCGCAGAAAGTGCGAGGAGACAGGATCGTGAAAGAACTACTTGAACTAAATATTCGGAAAGAAAAAAAAAAAAAACTTATACCCGGGGTAGCCTATTATCCCAGAATGAGCTGATCGTCATCACGAGCCCGCTCAGACAGGGTAATGAAGCTATTTAAGATTTTTTAAATTTGCGATTCGCACGTAAAAAATAAAGAATACAAGGGGGAAAAGAAAAACTAACGCGGATAGTACCTAATCCAAGAATGAGCTGATCGCCACCACGAGCCCGCTCAGACAGGAACAGGATGCTATTTAAGATTATTTAAATTTGCAATTTGCACGTAAACAAAAAAAAATCTAACGCGGATAGTTCCTAATCCAAGAATGAGCTGATCGTCATCACGAGCTTGCTCTGATAGGGACAGGATACCATTTAAGATTATTTAAATTTGCGGTAAAAGAGGAAACAAAACTCTTAAAAGAGGGAAAGTGTCTCCTCGAAAACTCCGTTTCTAAATATTCCCAACTTATCTATAACGCGGCACTTACTAAACAAAAGTATTTATCAATAAAATCAAATTTAATTACCGGTCTGAGACTAACAAAAAGAAAAGTTACATTCCTTAAATCTTTCTCACAACCCCAGACATCACACCAAATCCCAGAGATATCCACAGAATATCTTTTGTGGATATCCAATATATCCACAGGATATCTGAAATATCCCGTGGATTTAATATGGATATCCAAATGGCCGTCTATATCCAGAATATAGAAGATATCCTATGGATATCCAGCAAAATATCTAATGGGTATCTTACAGACAATACAAGAAATCCCAGAGATATCCACAGAATATATTTTGTGGATATCCAATATATCCAGTGGATCTAATATGGATATCCAAATGTCCGTCTATATCCCAGGATATAGAAGATATTCAGATATTCAGCAAAATATTTTATAGGTATCTTTAGTAAAAGTTCATAAGTAACCAATGATTACTGAATAACGTCGAAAGAAAATAGCAAAGATAAATAATATTTTCAACACTCTACCTTTGATTTTGCCCACTAAGGAGAAAGTCATTCTTATTAGGATTCTTCAGCAATAAATGGAAATTCTCGACTCCAGTCTCTAATGGAGTCTGATTGCTATACCAATTTCGATCGAACTCAGTTACGGCGGGTTGAGCATGAGTAGATATTCAACGAGCGAAAGTGGTATCGCCATCTATACTTAGTAAGCAAAATCAAAAATTACATCTAGTGGATACCCATCATGGTTTGCGTTCGCGCCTAGACTTTGATATATTTAGTGGATGTCCATGTGATATTGATAACCTTAAAAAAATTAATTTTAAATATCTGAACGGTACTATTAGCCACAATGGCGTAATTTTTTAATAATTTGCTATATAATTACTTTTATTTATGGACATTTACATGTCTATAAATTACATCTCATGGATATAAAATAGATATCCACCATGAACTGGATATTCCAGTGGATATTGGGATGTCCAGTAGATATCCAAAAGATTTGGTGTGCTGTCTGGGACAATATCTTTAAAAACGGTATTCTATTTGCAAAGAACTAAATTCTAATATTTATTAATGAAATCCTACTATATCTTTTAACTCAAAACGAATTAAACGTTCCTATTTCCAAAAGATAAATCGGTTTTTAAATTAAACTAAACGCGGTCTAAAAATTAAACGTTTCTCCTATAAAAAACTGAAACAAGGTTTTGTTTTTACCTATCGGATTAATAAACACGAGACGGTGAAAATCTATCAACTGCGGACCTAATCGTAAAATGCGGCTTCTACTTAAACTGTCCGAAATCTCCAAATCCTTTCAATTCGTGACGAAAGCGAGAGAAATTCCCACCAACGACAGTACCACCGCGCATCGATATGTCGATCGGCGGTGCGCAGCTGTTGATCAAAACGATATTAGCCTAGGACAATTATTTCGAGCGCGTTCAATATTAATTAAAAATGAAAAATTAAAACAAAACCGATTAAGGAAAAATTGACTTCATTACAACATTTCAAATAAACCTTAGATAGTACCGGCTTTATAAATGCAGGGCCGATCTTATGGGTGTGTAGGCACAAATTCGGCCAAATTTAAGGGCAGCCGCAGGCCATCGGCAGATTCAGTTAAGAACATTTTTTTTATTTTTTCCTATAAGGCAGAAAAAACGTACAAAATAGAAAAAATGTATATACGTTATTAATACTCTGTAATAGAGCTCGTATATTAGTAGAAGAAAGGTTTCAATGTTTATGGCACTGTAACAACGTTTTCAACTTTTTAAAGCGGTTTTATGGTATGACATCTGACGATTTAAATTAAAAATGCAGGCCATTAGGGAAATGTCCAGAAAAAAATGTAAAACTTAAGACGAAATAAATATTAAACAACATTTAGAGTATTTTTAAAGCAGATTAAAACAACGTCCCAATTTTTTAATGTCCATAAATTTGGTTTTAATTTTCAGTCTTTAACAGTCTGAATTCTGCATTACCTCAACTAATAACATTAAAACCGCAAAATAACCAAAATAGTTTAAAAATTAAACATATATAACCAAACTTTTTTCGACAGCTGCACATATGTAAAATGATGAAGTGGGTTCGCAAAAACAGTACTGGGACTGGGTTTTATTTGTGGGAGCGTGTAGGCCACGCGCCGGTGCTGCTGCGAATGAGTCGATCATGAAAAATATTGAAATATAGTTTTTAAAAAGGACATTTTAAAGTTTACAAAGTCACAAGACAATTTGTTTATAAAAAAGGACTGTCCATTTCAAAAAAGGACAGGTGGCAATCCTAGTTTAAAGGCTCGAGAGAATATTTATCACGTTATAATTGTTACCTGAAACGAAATTCGGCCATCTTTATCCTTGTCAACAATATTGAACATTTTAGTGACAAAAACAGCTTCTGCTTTCATACCAAGAGCACTCGCAAATTCAGCTTTGGTTAAAGATGTTCTCATGACCGTTACTACCTCACCATCTGCGTTTGTGTACGATCTGCGTCTCTTTTCTCCAGGCTTTAGACCAAACGTTAAAGCATACGCTTCCCTAAAAAAGTGTTCCAATTTTCTTTCACGTCTTTGTCGGGTTTCAGCTTTGGCTAATAGTAATTCTCGTACAATCTAGAAATATATTTAATTAACAAATAGGGAATTTAAAGTGTCCCGAAGCATCCGCACTATAACGATTTGTTCAAATGTTTGTAGTCAAGGGGCAGTCGGTTAATTTTAATTTTTTAACCACAACTCAAAAAAAATATTTCTATCTTGCTTACCGGTGTTGAAAATAAATTTTTCTTGTTGGAATTCAAAAACACTTCCAACTTATGCATGAATTTCTTCTTGGAAGCTAAAGAATCCAATTCCAAAACCAAATCGTAATCTCTTGGAACGTGAAGCAAAAGTATTGGTTTTTTGATGGATGTTACATTTAATGATTCTTCGACTACAACTGTATCCACATTTTTTAAATTTATAGTTCTTAGTTTTTCACCTTTTCTTTCTAAGACGTGTATTGCAACGTCAGGTCCAAATTTGACTTTGACCGCCCTTTTATGGTTGGCGTGAAGCCACTCTACAATACAAAAAAAAAGAGAAATATTATGTTTATATACAGTATACAAACGAAAGAAATTATTTCATTATTTCGTAAGTAACTGTAGAGGAAAATCTTGAAACCCGTCGTTTTTTATATTTGAAATTTTGTATACGTGATGTGTGAGCCTGATCACGTCATCAATGATTTTTTATTAGACTATTTAATTTAATAAATAATTTTAAGTATTACCTAATTGAGATTTTTGTAAAAAATAATATCAAATATTAACACACATAATATGTACGTATTTATTTTCGACTATGTTAAGGTACTCAAAAGTAAGTTTGGAAAGGGCTGTACTTAGGTTCTATACTGGATTTTCTTTTTTTTTACTTGTTTTTGCGTATTTTATAAAATGTAATAATTTATCTTATTAAGACTGCTTCATTCGTCGCTAAAGAAAACATTACTCCACCTTTCCGTTGCCCAGGAATCGCAATATATTTTATATTTTGGCCTTAGATTAAAGATACCGGAGATATAACATTGCACATAGCGCATGTTGTCTATTCCAACCTTAAATAACCCACCAATTAAAAATCATTGTGTCCACGACGCCACCCGAATTGCTCCGACATTTCTATTCCACGTGAGTTGAATCATCATGGACCGCTGTTTTTTGAATTATTTGTTGGTGTTATTAGCAATTTAAAGTGTTTTAGTTAGTCAATCGCAAAATGTCACGATGTATTTTGAAAAATTGTATATCCAAATAATATAAGTGCCAATAAAAAACATATTCGTTTTCAGCGGTAAATATTTATTAACGTTTTGACATAAAGCCGTCATGGTCCTTTGGGCTGAATACTTTAGATCCGCATTAAGGGGTTTCAATATTAAGCATCAAATACATATTTCAGAAAACATATTTCCTAATACTTATATAAATTTACAGAAGAGCAAAATTTTGAACATTTAATTTAAATAAGAAGTAAATAGGCATTGTTGCTAACAAAATTTTGTTTTTAAAAAGTAGTTTTATAAGAATATTGACTAAAGGAGGTTTTTTGCCCTTTTTGGTATATAAATAAGAAGTAAAGAAGCATAGTTGCTAGTGAAATTTTATTTTTATAAGAATATTAGATGAAATACAGGACGACGCATTTTCATCTTATTTGCGGTCAAATCGGAAGTGACATTTAAATCTTAAGTCTTAAAACAAAGTAAAATGCACAATATGATCTAGTATAAGCAAAAAAATACTAAGTTTCGGAAGTTAGTCAGATTGTTAATAAAATATTACAATATAAACCCTTAAAAAACTCGAAAAAATCTTCGTTTGCTAACAAAAGCTATATTCTAGCAATTTATTATACAATCAAAACTATCAAAAGCGGTTTCAAAGATAATGGGATCAAAAAATCCGAATCTCTAAATTTTGGAACTAAATGCTCGGATAAAAGGAAGGACCGATAGGGGTAACAAAAATAATCGATTATTCTGTTATTTTTTTATGAAAATCGATTTATCCGTTATAATTAATCGATTATTTTCGATTAATCGAACATTTTCTATAAATTATTATCAGTTATTTTCGATTAATCGAACATTTTCAATAAATTATTTCCGTTTTTTAAGATAATGGAATAATCGATTTTAAAGGAAATACGAAAAGAAAGTAGATTTATTCAAAATAATCGATTGATTGAAAATAATCGATTTTTTAAAAAAATCGATTTATCGTTTAATCGGCTTTTTTAATTAATTAATTATTTTCATTAACCGAATATTTTCGATTAACCGATTATTTTCGATTTTTCAAAGGTATTCGAATAATTTGTTTTAAAGGAAATACAAAAAAATAGATTATATGAAAATAATCGATTGATCGAATATAATCGGTAATTTTATATAATCGATATTTCGGTTAATTTTTAGAATTATCGATTTATCGGTTAATCAGTTTTTTATTAATCGACGATTTTCGATAATCGAATGATCAATTTTAAAGGAAATATGAAAAAAAAATTTGAAAATAATCGATCATTTGGTTATTTTGTTTTGAAAAATCGATTGTTTATAGAATCGGCTTCTTAATTAATTGGTTATTTTCGATTAATCCATTATTTTCGATTAAGCAATTATTTTCTAATAAAAGATTATTTTCGATATTTCAAAGATAATCGAATAATCGAGTTTAAAGGAAATATAAAACAAATGGTTTATTTGAATTAATCGATAATTTGGTTTTTTTTTGAAAAATTTATTTATCGGTTAATCCACTTTTTAATTAATCGATTATTTTCGATTTATCAAAGATTATCGAATAATCTGTTTCAATGGAAATTATATGAAAATAATCGATTATTTAAAATAAACAATAATTCGTTTATTTTTTTTAAACACTGATTTATCGGTTAATTGGCTTTTTAATTAATCGATTATTTTTAATTTTTCAAAGATAATCAAGTAGTCGATTTTAAAGGAAATACGAAAAAATAGATTAAAAATAATCGATTGATCGAAAATAATCGATTATTTTCAATGATCGATAATTTATTTCGATAATCACCCACCCCTAGCAACCAAATGACTTTTAATAGGTTTAAATTTTAAAATGTTATCAGACATGCATTTCTAGAGTTTTATGTGACTCATCCTCTATATTAATTAATATTCCTAAAGAAAGAAGCTTTAATATACCATTTTCTGAGGTTACAATACAAAACAGCATTTTCTCATTTTGACTAATTTTTAATATTATGTAATAGCCGTACAAAAAATATAATGTTCAACTCAAGGTTTGATTTGCAGTATTCGCCTGCGCACATGCTTTTTTTATAATACTCGTAGACAATGAGTACCATTTCTTGCTCGATTAACAATATTCTATTTCAACATTTTACTGTAGTCTCTTGTAGAAAAGTCCGTAAATAAACGCTAACGAAATATTCTATAAAAGGTCTTCTCTTTACATCTGTTTAATATTAAAAAAGTACGTTAATTTGATTTTATAATACAAAATTCCATTAAACGTCTTTTAAGTAAATTTTATAGTTCATTATGATGCTAATAAACAAATTCCGTCCCTGTCACAGAATTCGGGTCTCCGCCCAGTTCCCCCACTTCATTAACCTTTCTTTAGAAATTGGCAACATTTGCGCAGGTTAAACCGGTGTATGTTATATCTCTGGTCTCTTTTATCTAAGATTTTGGCCAATAAAAATTTGATGTTATTACAAGGTAAAAACATTTTAGAACTGAGTACCAACTCCAAATGTAAGCTAAAAGAGTATTTTTATCAAAAAAACTTGTAAGCAAATTTTAGCTTGCAAATACATTAAATACTACGTTTCTATTGATTAGTTTAATTTTTGTAAAATGTTTGGGCTTTTGAGAATTTTGAAAAATTACAAGCACATTCATCCAATTTTGCCCCACCCAGTACATAAAAAAGAATGGCAACATAATATATCCTAAGTATTATATTCATTATTACCTGTAACTATCATTGTATCCACCGGTAGTTTAAGATCGCCGTTTCTCAGTTCTTCTTGCTTAATTCTAAGGCGCCTTCTTTTTCTGTTTTGTAATTTAACTACTCCATAACCAGCGCTGGCGCAAAGTATGGGTACGAAGCCTAAAAACAGGCAGGCATAGATGTACACCAGCTCATTTCCCTAAAAAAATAATAGGTAACTAAAATATGAGAAAGTGGTGTGTAAATATTATTCATTTACCTCAAAATAATCATATCCAGTAATAACTTTGCAGGGTTCCATTAAAGAATTGTTTAGTTGCATTGGCTGAGGACAGGGGTCACCATGCATCCAATAAAATACATTTTTTTGAATGGCCGTTGTTTTAACACTGGTGCTATTTATAATAACGTCATACAAAGTAATTTTTTTTATCTCTTCTATTTCTTGCTTGCTAAATATCCTACAAGTGATTTAATAATTTATAATTACATTTTATCAGAACTCTTTTCAATGCAAGTACATACACGTAAGTGACTTTCAAACAAACACCATGTGAAAATAAATATTTATGCCTAATTATATTTGGACGTTAGGGAGATAAAGAGAGTAATTGATTTAACTACGCCACTCAGCGACGGTATTGTTCTATTTACCTCTATTCAATGACACTGTGTTTCTATACCGTTCTCCTGGAGGAAAGTTATCATATTGTATACTTGTTGTTTCACTAATAATTCTCCATATTGTTAAACATAAATAAAATATTCCTAATAACCGAGATTTAACAATTTTAAATTGCCCACTGTTATCTTCCGATATTATTTTTTTGTTCATAATGATATAACTCTCAACATTTGATACTACTGAGAATTTTTATTAATTTAAACCATTATTGAACTGAGTGAACGTGAAAGAATTACACTATTGATGATTATTGGGTTTGGAGACAGAAATAGATCTCTGCAAGAAGCTTGTGATTTGTTCAGTGAAACATTTCCCGACATGATTTCCCCGATTTCTAAATCTACTCTATCCAGAAATTTGAGAAAGTTCAATGAAACAGGACGTGTGAAGAATATGCACTTAATGGGTTTCTAAGCGTAAAGGAAGAGCCAAAAACTTCAGTTTCAAAGTTTAAATTACACCAAGATGACCCAGATAGGTGAATGCATAAAAAGGGATAATATTCTAGCTATGCCTTCTGATAGAGCCATAACCACATACAAATTTGAAAGAAATTTTCAAATTCAAATACCAGCCCGAGAATCCTGAAAACAGGGACCTCCTGTACAGGCTGAACTCGTCTGGTACACAGACGGTTCAAAAACCAAGGAAGGAGCCGGTGCTGGAATCTATGGACCCAAGTCGAAAACAACGATTTCGCTTAGTTTAGGAAAATATGCAACAGTGTTCCAGGCTGAGCTAATAGCCATACAACACTGTACAAGAGAAATATTAAATCAGCAAGTATCAGGCAAAACTATTGCCATATACTCTGATAGCAGCTCTAAAGGCAATTCTCTCACCAGAAATCAAATCACGACTGGTGAAAGACTGTCTAGAAGACCTGACAGAGCTAAGTAGTCAAAATAAGGTGACCTTAGCCTGGGTTCCAGGCCATAAGGGATATCAGGGTAACGAAAAGGCCGACGAATTAGCCCGAGAAAGCTCAGATAAGGCCATGACAGGCCCAGAACCCTTCTGTGGAGTTGCTAAGGCATTGTGCAATGCATCCATTAAACAATGGATGCAAAAAGAGTCTCAGGAATGGTGGAACAACTATCCAAGACTGACACAGGCCAAACGGTTCATACAGGAACCATCGGCCAAGTTCACGAAAGCGTCAAACCGTTAGGATAACAGTAGGCCTTCTCACTGGACACTGTCGCCTCAAAAGACACATGTGTCATTAATCCAGCAAAAGAAGCAACTTTGTGCAGGTTCTGTGAAGAAGAAGAAGAGGAAACATCATTCCACGTCCTGTGCCAATGTGAAGGCCTGGCTGGAATGAGGTTTCTAACATTGGGCGAAGAAAAGCCAAATGCATGCAACTACATGCTGGAGCCACTGTCAAAGCTACTAAGTCTAATAAAAAAGACCAGACTAGACGACATACTCTAAAACAAACGGAGTCCCACAATAGATCTGAAAAGATCGCGACGAATCAACATTTTGTCTCAGTGGATTTGTAAATAAACATAATTGCTGGTATTGGCCTGATCATAATCCTCACTGGATGGAAGAAGGGCATACCCAATATCCATAAAAGTTAAATGTTTGGGCTGATATAATTAGAGGAAGAATTATTGGACCATTCTTCATAAGAGAAACTCTGAACGGTGATCCTTATTTGCAACTTCTTGAAGAGCAGATAGTTCCAGAGTTAGTTCGTTTATTTACAAATCATAGAAATCATTTAGAACTTTATGATAAAATTTGGTTCCAGCAGGATGGTGCGCCTCCTTATTTCGATGCTAGAGTGAGACAGTACCTAAACACAATATTTTCACAGAGATGGGTGGGTCGAAGAGGACATATTAAGTGGCCGACACGGTCACCGGATTTATCCCTACTGGATTTTTCTTTGGGGCCATTTGAAATCAGTGTTTATAAGGACTTGCCACATTTGCTGGAAGAATTGGAAGACAAAATAAGAATTGCTGTTTAAGAAATAACACCTGAAGTTTATAAAAATGCCTTAAGATCATTTGTTGATAGACTAGGATATTGTCAGGCAGTTGCAGGCTTTCATTTCGAACACATACTTTGAAAGAGTGTACTTCGATTGATGTAAAGTAATAATTAGAGACCCTCAAATTCTACATTGATAGATTCAGAAAAAAAAGATCTATCCGAAAAAATATAAATATAGGTTGATTCATTTAAAATTTCATCCGATGACGTCGTTTCTTGATAAATATGACAGACGATGAAAATCCCAAAGCGTCATTAAATAGTGTATAAAATATATAAAAAACTTTATTCGGGATAATTTTTAATGCAATCCAATCCATAATTGAGCCACAAATCGAGTGTTCCGCCAATTTTGCTCAACCCTGTATGATGCAATTATTTTTTTTACTGATTATTCGGATTTTAGATTAACCGATTAATCTGATTATAGATAATTCGGATAATCAAAATTTTTATTTTATAATTCGAATAATCGATATTTCTCACAAAAAATTGCCTAATCAAAGGGTTCATTTTTCTTTAAAAAATAGTTGCCTAATCGATTATCAATATAAATAATATTTGTTTATTGCCACTAAATGTGATGTTTCAAAAAATATAATTTTCACACTTCTATTTTTCCTGGTCATGTATATTTGATTCAAATTCTTTTTTTTCTTCTTCTTTACACAAACTTTTATCAAGAATTAAATAATGAAAATCCTTACCCATTTTGTTCATTTTCAAACCAAAATCTATCGGCATCCCTAATGCGAGTAAATTGTTCATTAATGACCTTTGTAAACAGTTCACCTGGTTTTCCATAGCTTTCTAACATTCCCCCAATATATACATCAATATCATCAATGTTATTATCATAAGAAGACACCAACATTCTGAGAATTTCGGGCCTTTCTTCAAACAGCTTTTTGTTAATGTCTGTCCAATTTCTAATTTTTTCTAATCCTAAAATAAAATTAGAGGAATGTAATAGCATATCTAATAATAATGACTAATTTAAATTTTATAAAAAATTACCATAAGCAGCTCGTACAGTGTTGTAATCTGGAAGCCCATTATCTCTACCTCGCATAATGTTAATAGCACCTAAATCTCTTCTCGAAAACTCCATGGGACCAAAAAGCTTATCTCTTACGTCTGAACATAGAAGAGAATCTTCACGTTCAGCTAGCTGAGATGTCATACCCATTAAAAGCTCCTCAATAGAATTATTGGTTAAAACTTCCTATAAAAAATGTTGAAACAAAAAATAAAACAAAATAAATTATACATTTTATTAAAGATAGTTACATTGGAATCCCACCAAGTAGAACACAGCCTCAGTGCAATATCTCCCATGGGAGTTTTCTTAAAATTACATCTGGAATCCCTTCTGTATAATCCCGGAGGGATCAGTGAGTGACCAAACCGAAATGCTGCACTCTGGAACACGTGGGTTATTCCTGGATGAATGTCAGGATTATACCCGTTGTATGGTGGAATTTCTTCTTCTAAAAAAGCTGGTAGGTATTCGTACACTATGATATTCTGAAAATAAACTCTGCAGTTCTATATAAAATTCTTTTGCTGCTTTCAAAATGTTGATTAGTTGTCGAGAATCAAATATTAATAACAACGTGGTACTGTTTAAGAATGCTACTGCCATGCAGGCTTGATAGGACCCTCTAATGAAGGGACTTTCTATTATGAAATAATGCTGAAACTTAAAATATTTAACAGTAATTTCATAAAAAAAAGATAAGGAAATGTGTTCTTTTCATTTTATACAAATAATGACTTAATTAGGCAAGAAACCAAACTTAGATACAACTTTTCAAATAGGTTGTTTGGAATTTGAAAAAAAAAAAGTTTTGAGAATACCAAAGATATTTTCGACAACAAAATCATAAGGAAGCTATTTTCCCGATTAAAACTAAATATTTACATTTCTGAATGATAATTGAACAATCAGTCATCAGCAGGCTGAATTTAAAAGTTAAAGTGGTTAGAGTTTAATCCTTTGGATCCAGCGTTCGTATCCCATCAGGACTGCAATTTTTTATAATTATTAAGAATAAATTCCAATTCCTAGGTGTTATCGTTTTTCCGATATTATTATAAAGAACTCATGACTATATGAAATATATTTGACCTCAACATACTATCAAAATCCTGAAAGTTTTTAACTGATTGGTTCTATAGTATACTTGCAGGGTTGCGATGACTATTCTCCTGGCTTTCTGGAAAATATCTTCGTCGCTCCAGTCTGGATTGTGCTTCTTTATTCTTGAAGCAACGACATTGTGCCATCGGAAGAAGAGAACACTAATGGTTAACAGTGCAGGGTTTTGATTTGTGCGTGCATCTCCAAGTACTAGAAGACAACATATAAACATATAAAAAGTGATGACCTTGTATTATAAAATATTTACATATATAATATGTTAAAACCTATATAGTCATTATGTTTCGGAAATCCTCAAATAGAAAGAACAAGTTTCAAAAATTAAGTAATACGAAGGTAGAATACAGTTTTCCCATTAAAATGTAGTAATTATCGGATTTTCTGAGGAAAAGTTAGTTTACTCATAAAATAGCAACAGGGTAACTCCAAAGCACTAATTTTCCTTAGATTTCCAAGATGTCCCCAAAAACTGACGTAATTTCGTAAGAGTACTTTCAATGGTAGGTCATTAAAATGATTTAAATTTTATTCTAGTTTGTAGGTTTTTTCTGAATGAATTTATGATATAATACATTATTACCAAATAATTTTTCATTATATTAGGTACTTACAAAACAGTCTTTCGGTACTAAAAGTCTTCATCATATGTGGTACTGGGTAGTTGAAGAGAGGAACTCTCATATAGTTTAAAATAGGCATTTTGCCTGTTGCATCAGTCAAAAAGGAACCATTTTCGAATGAACGCATTGTATTTACCCACGGTTCGCTGGTACTATAGATAAAACTCCCATCTATCCAACTTGTAACTTGGTTTAACTAAAAAAAGTACTAAATTAATTTAAAAATTATTTCGACTATCTAATATTCTCTATCAACTGTGGACAACCGGTATGTCAACTGAATTTTTGGATATGAAAAGAAAAGATTAAATCTCAAGTCGGTGTTTCAGTGTATTTTTTTATTCTTGCTGCGTCTTTTTTCACCATCATACGTTTTTTCTTCAATATATTCATCTCATTAATTAAAATTATTATATGACCTATTTCCAACGAAATAAAATTTGGTACTTATTTGTCAGTTTTTTTCGGATAATTGTTATAAAATATCTTAATTATTATTTATTTTTATATATAATTCACTGTCCAGAATAAAACAAAATCATTAGTTTCAGAGTTGATAATTTTTAGATGTATTTATAGTATAAGTCGTAAAAATAAACATCTTTTTCACAAATTCAGAAATAAGAATTAAAAAATCTAAATCCGGGCCTGGACTTGTGTATGAAATGTTGAGATAAATAATGTTTATGTTTTTATCTCTTCTACTTATTTTTTGGTTTTTCTTATGAATCATGCTTAATTGTGTACCGCTTATTTTAATTTAGTTGCGTGTAATTTCAGTAGGGTGTCTATCTGGTTAATTAACAAATTTAAATTGTTCATTATGGTAAACTATGACAAAAATAAACTTACTTATATGTATGTTACTTATATTTATAGTAAGTGTCTCAAAGTGCAGAGCTGTCTGCTCGAGAACTATATCTAAAATTTTGAAGCATTAGTTCGTATGAGGAGTAGTGATTAATCTTATTTATATGAAATGGATTATTTACTTTACGGAAGCAGGTAGCAGGGCTGCTTTTACTCGAAACATTACACCTTTTATTTCGATTATAAAGTTTGTTAGATTTTTATTTATACTACAGTAAATTTTATTGCCTACCCGTCTCAGTTTATGCTCCACTTATTCCTATGAATAACATCTTTGTCCGAAATACATAGCGATATTTTCTATTGGGAAGGTCAAAACGCATTGTATTTTATTGTCTGTTGATGTTCCTGATCTACTCTGGAATCACACTGTTGCATACTTTCTTTGTATTACATAAAATGGAGAAATATTCTGTTGGTGGTTGTGGTTTTTATGAATCCCTTTATATATCTAGATATGTATCTTGCCACGTTTGTTTATGACATACCTTAGATTAATATCTCTTTAATAAACAAATGACGATAAAGTTAATGCTGCTTTTACCATGTTGTAAATCTATTAGAGCATGTCTACCAGGTCTTGACATAGAACTGTCTTCAATCTTTAGATGTCAACTCGGTCCGAATAAAACTCCATTATGACCTATTTACAGTGGTGGTTCCTCAATAAGTGCACATGTATTAAACCACGCGCCGCGGCTACCTATTTAATTTTAATCGGTAATGGGTTTGTTCGTTTTTTTCAAAAATACGTTGAGAACTATCAGATGACTAGTGACCAGAGGACGGTATAAAGTTTAAAGCAACGAACAATTTGCTGTTCACCTGGATCTTGAACAATTTGCATCAAATTTTGAAGAAACACGAACGAACCCAACATTAACTAAAGTTCGACACTCTAGTCGAAGTTTTGATACTGGACAGAAAGGAGAAAGGAATCCACTTCCCGCTAGTAGAGTACAAGACTGGTATACAGAGTGCAGAAAACACTGTGGTTGGAATATTTCCTGAAACCCCAGGCACGCACCAGCCTTAATTCTACAATATTCAAACATACCTCAGTTTTTGTAACTGTACAATGTTCAAGAATAGCTCCTGAAAACCAGTAGATCCATATGTCAAATAGCCAAGTGGCCATCAGGACATATTGAATTAGAAAGTGAAGTTGAGCCTGGTATGGGCCTGGATTGAAGAACGGAGGACATTAGCAGACCTATATAGCATAAAACGAATTTGATTGTCTGATCATGGAAGATTGAAAAAAAATACTAATCTTTTGGGGTTAGTACAGGTTAGTTTGGTTGACTATAACCAAAAAGTCAGTATCCGTCTAAGCAAGAACAAGCCTCGCAAATATGCGTTACTAAAAGGGGTTTCTGTACGGAAACTGCCAGCTCAAAGTACACCTTAGTAAACTGGAACTAGTAGAAGATAGGAGGAGGAGGACGAAACCTCAATTCGTATTCTGACTAAATGTATAGCATTCTAGAATCCAAGGGCACTATGCTTAGGAGCATACCAATTAGAAGAGGGGGAACTATTCAACTTGGGGGCCACTCCAAATCCTTCATTTCCTTAGGAAGATAGAATTGGAACGGCCGTTATTCAAAATAGGGTCAGATTGAAAAATAATAAAATAACTATTATCTTTCAATAGAAACCATTTGAGAATGATAACAGAACTTTCGACAGAACTTTTGACATAACAGTACGAGTATACGACATGAAAACTGCGTGTATAATGAAAACCTAGTATTTCGATTATGTCATAAGAAACCAGAAAGAGTTAGTATTACACTCTGTGGGATTGCGAAAACTTAGAATGAAATAGACTGGTACTTTTTGGACAATCATGAATTGATCCAAGGACGTACTTAATAAAGGAGACCTGTAAACAATTGTACAGTTAAATCGCTAATTGAAAGGTACACTTGAAGGCAAACTATCAACGATTTCAGCAAATTCATGACCATATTTTTTCCATTTATCAGGTGTTTTAAGTGGAGGAACAGTAGAGCTACCTTTCAAGTACAAACGTGACAGACTGGGTAAAACTAGTTGGTTCTATAAATAATAATTAAGATGGGATAAAACACAATGAGCCCAAAGACTGCAATGTCATCGAGGACCATCTACGGCGAATATTTCACAATTGGAATCTTTCTTATTGTAACGTGTGAAGGGTGGGTTGCCCCATGACATTTGGTCTCGCTAGGCCCGTTGTGCATCCTCCTTAATTAATAGGCCCCCTTAGCTCGTCATCCAGACAACAGATTTGATGTAGTTGCAAACGTCGCCAACAGGTACAAATCTTATAATAAATGACAGCGTCAGGCAATTATAGATATGCTCGGTAATCTTATCTTTTTTTACGCGTCCCCAGCACAGTACGGATTCTGACAGTCCCTTACTATGGAGATGCTTCCGTACTTGGCAATAACCTGTCAGAATGCCTGTAATCAGGAGAGATTCTGTCTAGTCATAGTCAAGTATTTGCTTGGTGCGGTGTTGTTGGGATAACTTAAAATCTACAGCTTCTTGTTTCATTCCATCTTTTCTTGAATTTCATGAGGGAGTGTTCTTTAGTTAGGTTTGTCAGTCCAATGAAAGGACCTGGTCCATAAAGTATTTGGATGGCTGCTTGCCTATCGATGTGGCGTGACCCTTGATCCATCTTAAAGTGACCACATTGTTGATGGACATTTCGACAAAAGCTTCGTGACACTCTAGTAACTAACCTTGAGTAAATTCGTGGTCTGTCTAGGGTGAGTAGTGCTTGTCTGCTATCTGTACAGATGATCATGTTCCTTCCAGTGATATTGTTCCTAGAAATTTCTTTTCCTGCTATGAGAATCCCCGTGAGCTCGGTTTGAACCACACTGGCACTATTGCTCACAGCCCATTTTATGTTTAGGTTTAAGGATCCAAAGTATATTCCAAATCATAATCTTGTTTTGTTTTAGAACCGTCGGTGTAGATAGGAATCGTAATTTCCACTTCAGGCTGTTTTATTTGTTCCGTCATAACAGTATATGGCTTATGGAAGATCTATCTTGCTGAGATGAAGTCCATGTTCGCTTGAAACAGTGGAGTAGTGTCATTATAACCAGAACAACCTCCTTGATGTAAATATCAATTAGAGTGAGACTTAGAATAACTTCCATGGCTCTGGTATTCATGGCTCCTGTTATGTCATATGGTGTTCTTTTAATTTATTCTAGTTTGCGTGTATAGCTGTTAATTATTGGGTTTTCGGTACTCAGACAACTGCACCGTCTGTCAGCATAGGTCTTATGATATTGTAACGTTTGTTTAATTTATTTATAGTTTATTTATTTAAAACACTTTATTTATAATTTATTTATAATGTACTAATTAATTTATATAATACTTTTCTGTCCAACACTTAAATTCAATCTTCTTGTCCGTCGACGAACTCGCGCTCTTTATATAAAGCCATCTCTGTACTAGAACTCTCTCGGCTTTCCAGAACGATCGAAAACTGCCTTTATATGACTCATACGCCGCAAAAGGATCAATCCGGTAGTTTCTCGAAGCGGTGCGTTTTTATTCATTTGTATTCATACGAACAAATAATACAAAATTGTAAATTTTATAATAATTTAAAAATATGTGCTTCTTCGAAAAATTATTTAATTAACTAAAGCCAAATTAAAATACAGTTTTATAACATTATGTTATATGTTGTTGTTTTACTTTATTTTGTTTACTAAACAAAATTGTTAATAAAATAATAATAATAACTTTAAAATATCTTGTGTATATTTACCTGCTCCCTAGGACTATTAGGACTTTGTCCCGTTTTGCTATCATAACTAGCCCTATGAAACGGAATGTATTTATTTCCTGTACACTCCTTGTCGTACATTTCATCGCATTTTTCTATTTCGATGTGATGCATCTCGATAGGACATCCGCTTTCACTTGCCATGACAATTTCCGAAGTGACTAGTTGACCGAAAAAAGCCAAAAGTGCGGTCCTGTTCTTCATGGAGCTTAAACCGTCGGTACCTTTCATAAAGAGCCTGCTAAGTTTCCTGGGACTGGGCCTGTTTTGACCTGAGATCATATACACACCATCCGAATACGCGGCTGGTGCTCTTCTTATGAGATGGCTATCTGAAATAAATAATTTTTGTTAACTTCACATTAAAAAAAAGCTACCTACTGACATTCGATTTTAATTACATTTTTTTAGGGTGTAAAGGATCGAGTAATTAGCCAATCCGGCCGGAACCGGAATTACGGCCGCTAGCCGGACCAGATCCCCGGATTTTCGGCCGGATCGGGAAGTATTCCCACACCCCAATGTTATTTTACAAGTTCCATATATCTAAAATATAAAATTTCGCAAATTTTCCAGTTCTATACCAGAATATTTACAAAACAAAAAACGACTATAAATTAGTTTATAAAATCACCAAAAACTTTTCCAAACAGTTCAACAAAATGAGCTTAAAATTAAACATAGGCAAAGCTAAATCCTGAGAATGAATTTCGTGTGACGTGTCAACATGTTTCTATACCACTTGTGGTAAAAGGATTTTGATTTATTCCGTTCCGCGTTATTGCAAAAATGGCTGTAGAACTGTTAGATAAAAGTTATTGGTTTATAAAGACTTTCTATTTAATAAAATTCAAAATGTTTGCTTGTTTTTTGCTTATATTTAACTTATAACCACGTCGATTGGTCGGATCGGCCGTATTTAGTAAGGATGTCAATTCCTGACGTGATAAACGGTTAACCGGATCGACTGATTTTGACCGGTTTCGGTTTTAACCGGATTTTTACTATTACTATAACCGGTCCGATTAAACCGAGCCGGTCGAAGCGGACCGGTTAGACCGGATTCGGCGGTTTAACATCGATCGACATCGATGTTTTATTCGATATTTTCCATTCTTCAGCATATTGTATCTTTATTTAAATCAGTCACAATTAAAAAAAAAAAACAAATTTTTATCGCACAATAGTCAATGAAAAAGTTTAATTTGAAGCATATTTTTGATAACTGTGATGTACATTTATTAAAAAATTATAATTTTCTTAGTTTTGTTTTATTATTACATTTGGAATGTTTATATTTGTTTGTATTTTTTTGTTTTACTTACTTTTAAATGTATAAGTTTTAAAAACATCGCACTTCGGCGATACTTTGTTTTTGGTATATCATTCGATGTCAGTATCGACGTTTTAAGAAATATGCGCATCCCTATAGCTCAAACAAACTATACTTGTTCGTTTACGTTAACGGTCTCGCTGAAACCGGTTTCAAGTACGGTTAAACCAGTTACGGCTCAACAAGTGACAGGTTTAACCGGTTCGATTAGAGTTACACCGGTTGCGGTTAAACCGGTTGCGATTAAACCGGTTACGGTTAAACCGGTTACGATCTTTAACGATTTTTTGGTCCTACAGAACCGGTTAACCGGTAACGGTTACCAGCCTTAGTATTTAGTGATACTGACAGAATTCCAGTTCATTTACATTTTTTTTATTTCTTGTATACTTGCATTACAAAAAAATATATGAGTCGTCATAAATAAATATAACTGACAAAGTTATAACAAAACAAACATAAAAATAAAAGTAAAAATCAAAAAGCGAGGTATGAGGATAATTCATGATGTATAAAATATAAATTTCTTGTTCCACTAATGTTCTAACTCCCTCTGAATTATGTAGTGGACTCTTGCAGAGTTTACCCCACCCCAAGTCTTTTTCACCCCCCTGGTTGGGTTCTTACCCAGCAAATAATCTTTGGCAAAAATCTTATTCTTTGCGCTCAGTTATTGTTGACCGTTAGTGATTTCACCAATATTTTTTTGATTTCTTCATTGTTTCGCCTTGTAGGTCAGTCAGTAGGGATGTCTGCTTTTCGAAAGGTGGGGTAAAAATGATTTTTATGTACTCTGATGAAAAAAACAAGTTTTCGATCAAAATCGCATGCTGCCATCTTAGATTAAAGGCGCGAAAAAATAGTTTATTCAAAGTAATTTACCAACGGTTTTTCTTACGACGAAAATGTATGTCAAACTTAAAGAAGATACAATTTAAATGTTTTATACATATAAATATTTTCTTTGTGTCTAATAATTAAAGGAGTAGAACGCCAAAAAGATAATCCTTTTACCAAAAAAATAGTTACATATTTTTGTCGATATAATTCTTGGACGGTTGGTCGATGACAAACATGACACCATAATGTAGAGTAAATGGCAGGATTTTCTATTGTGGTATCATTCCCATTATGCCTAATCCACATATGTTCTAGTATTTCGCCAGGCTACCATCTCCTATTCTTTCGTTATTTTTTATCCTTTTTGTCGTTAACGGTTTGATATTGATGTCTTTGTCCTCAATTTCATCCTCGATACTCGACATCATCTTCTAAACTCCTGATAATTAGTTTCATCGATACAATGTTCTCATCCTGATTATTGTTCTCGATGCGAACATCTGTTACATATTCGCATGACCGCTTTCCTGCAGACAAATCCTCCGTTTCCTAATTTTTTACATTTACAGGAAATGCTATTCTGGTGCTTAATTTCAAGGGACAGACTTCAGGAGTTTTGCTGGATTTTTTAGAATTCCTACCAATTTTGGACTTGCGACCTTGCTTTTGCTGATATTGCGACACTGATAGCGCACTTCTTTAAAAGTTTCTGTTCCCGTGTTGCCACCATACAAAGGAACAAGAAACCTTGCTCCAAAGTCTACTATGTCTTCTGTTTTGGCTTCCTGATATGAAGATACTAGTGCCCGCTTTCCAGCTACAGCTATCAAGTTTTCTGGATTTTTCTGGATTCCTTGCCATTTTAAGACTTGATAGTACGTTCTAAATACACTGTACTGTGTTCTTCGTTGGTGCCAACTAAGCTAAATTGATTTTGCTTTTGTTGCTGATCTTGCGAAACTTTGATAGCGCACTTTTTCAAAGAGTTCTTTTCCCATGTCGCCATCATAAAAAGAAATAAGAAACCATGCTCCAGAGTCTACTGTGTCTTCTGGTTTGACTTCCTGATTTGAAGATACCAATTAAGATTTCTCTTTTTAAAGCGCTAAATACTGCGTTATCCGTAGTTGCAACAATTTTGCTAATAAATATTATTTCTGGTAAAGAATTTGTCCTTTTCTTTTTGTCATGAGCTGACGTCGATTTCTTTTTCTTTTTGATCGTTATCACCCACGTAAGGGTTCCTTCCTGTTACAGAGAGGACGAGATGGACTGTATATTTGTAGAAACTTGTAGAATGTGATGAGCTACCTGATAACTTGCTTTGGAATGTTGAAATTAAAATAATTACTTCTGCTATTTTATAACGAACATGTAGGTTTGAAACATCTCTTTTATTTGTTTTAAACAGAAACGACGTGTACGTAAAGAATAAAACAAAAGATGTTGCTTTGTTGGAGGTTGAGATAGGTCTCCTGGATCGTGAGTTGAATGTCGTGTGGGAAGACTAGCATTTTTGTGCTATTGTTGTGATTGGTACAGGGAATGGATCATATGTTTGGACACTGTCTTCTGATTGGTTAAAACGAACGTACGGACAGAAATAGAGTGAATGTTGTAACTATTAAATAAACAAAATATTTGTTTTTAACTATTTATTTTAACTAGAGCAACTGAGATAGATTTACGCGTGGGAGAGAGAGTTGTTACTTATATTAAAATTACTCAAAAATGTCCATGAATGAGAAAACTATATATACTGTATAAGCTGCGCGCGTAAATAATAGTAAATATGCTGCAGGTGTGTACTGAATGTTTTTCCTAAATTACGAAATCCGTTACAATGCATTTTTACATGTGCCAGGGTTGGCTTTGATTTGTGTGAGATTTTTAAATTTGGTAATGCAATGTACAGATTGAATAATAAAATATATTGTTGTTTTTATGTTTACTACATATTATTTATACGGGGTGGATTATAAAGGGAATAACTGAAATATCTGTTCAAAAATGCTTGTCATTTTTAAACAGTTTTATAAAAAGGTTATTTTTATTTTAAAATTTGGTAGGCACAGGTACATTATGACTTAGCAGTCTATAAATAAGATGTTCTGAAAAGGTATAAACATTTATTTGTATTATACTTCCGCACCTTTAAGAAACTGCTGTCAGCAATCAATGACTTACTATAGAAACCATTATTTTGTCTTTTTATAAGTATTAATGATAAAAGCGTGATTGGAATTCTAATACCAATTATTTAATTTTCTGCAGTATACTTCTTTTAGAGTTTAATTATACAGGATGGTTAAATTTTAAGGTGCTATTCCTTACTCAATTTTAAGACAAAAAGTTCGTATAAACGTAGGTCGTAAACGGCTTTATTTTAAAAATACAGGATGTTGACAAAATTAAATTAAAATATTCTTTCTAAATAACTAAAAACGAAAACCGCAGGATGGATTAAGACCTAAGTTTATAATTTTGTTTTTCTTTTTATGCGTTTTTGAGTTATCTTAAAAATTCGAAATTTGAACTTTTTCTCAAATAATCATGTATAGAACAAAAAATATAAAGATAAAGCAACTTTTATTTGAATAATTTTCTTAAAAATTCGAATTATGCACTTTTTATCAAATTTTTCGAATACGGACCATTTTAGGAAAATTATGTACAGGCCAAAAATTATAAAGAATGACATCACGAGCAAGTTTTATTTGAATAATTTTCTTCTCCAAGCGTAAATAACAGATATATTCCATAAAGTAGAATAATAAATCAAAAATACATTTTTACCAATTTTTGCACAGTTTTTATATCGGAGTATGAAGTTAAAAAGTCTGTATTTTTTGGACGTATCAAACCGAGATAAATAGATATTTATATAAATGTGTGCCATTTACGACCATACAACTTGATTTTTGTAAATATATCCCTTATCCACAGGATAATTTGCTGTTAACCTATGCAATTTAAAACCAGAAATCATAGAAATGCAATTACCACTACTCAAACAATTTTATCTTTAAAATGCCAACGGAATAATAGAAACGAGCCGGAAAAACGGTATCTGTACATTTGGTCGACACCCAGTTGACCGACAGTACAATTTACCAACTGACCGGTGCGACAGGCCAATGTACCGACAAGTCAATAGAT